TATTCTGAGATGAACTAAAAACAGGTGGAACTCCAAACTCTCAGAAATATAATACAGTTAAAAATATGCACAAAAACGTCATAAACAAATAAGAAAAAAAAGTCTCCAAGAGTGCCTCCTCATCTGAAATCAAACCAGTCTTCTTTAGTGCATAGTCCTGATGCCCTCTTCAACCTGTCGTCACGGACTGCCAACATGACGCAGTGTTTTGTGGCTGAATAAAACATGACATTCCACTGTAGTAGCAGGACTTTGAAATCCAAGAATAGCGTTGATAAAATATTAAGTCACTTACTCTTACTGCTTACTGCACATTATAGATCTGTGCAAACGAGCAGTTCTCCTTTTAGTGCAGATGTGAAGAGATTTATTCAAGTGATAACAGTGTGATGTTTGTGGATTAAATTTGACCTTTTGAGGCTTCTGTACTCTGTGCCATGTGGCTTTAGATTGACGGCTTAGCAATTTTCTATAGTCTTTCCTAGGGATGTCCTGATGTGATGTTGATACAACCAATATGGGGCGAGTATTGGGAAGTATTGGGAAATATTTGCAATTTTCTCCCCGCTCATAAACTGTCTATGCCGAAAGTGTAGCTGCTAACACGGCTAAAGCTACGACTAACCTTGTTATAATAACCACACAGCAGCTGCAGCACAGACAGAGAAGGCTCTGAAGCAACGACATCATTATCAATGACACAGACCGCATTTGTTTTACCTGCGATGTCTCCACTGAGGCTGTTGCAGCTCTGTGATTATGTGACTTGTTTACATCAGCCATGTGCTTAGGAAGGCGTCTTTTTACAGGCCTTATATTAAGGTTAGAAAAAGTATTGAAGACTAAAACTGATATGTTTGAGAAACATAAGTTGGAGTTTAGAAGATAATCTTGGTGATCATTCTAATCAATTAGAAGTATTAAGATTCTTTTCGGGAGAATATTGCTATCGGATAGGATTTGGGAAATGCCCAGTTTAAAATATCGGTATTGTATTGAGTGAGGTCCCTCGTATTTTTATAGTTTCTATATCCACTCAAATGTCTCTTCTGTTTCTGTTCTTTTTTTTTTTTTTAAGTACCGACTTCTACTAATTACAATCTTTACAGCTCTGTGCCTTCATTTACATTACACCGTGGTTTTTAATTATATAAAGACATTGGGGAGAACCCACAGCGACACACAGTGACACACATAGACACACATAGACACACAGCGACACACACCGACACACAGCGACACACACCGACACACACAGACACACACATAGACACACATAGACACACACGGACACACATAGACAAACATAGACACACACGGACACACACAGACACACACAGACACACACGGACACACACATAGACACACATAGACACACACATAGACACACATAGACACACACGGACACACACATAGACACACATAGACACACATAGACAAACATAGACACACACGGACACACACGGACACACACATAGACACACATAGACACACACGGACACACATAGACAAACATAGACACACACGGACACACACAGACACACACAGACACACACAGACACACACAGACACACACGGACACACACGGACACACACGGACACACACAGACACACACAGACACACACATAGACACACACGGACACACACGGACACACACGGACACACATAGACAAACATAGACACACACGGACACACACGGACACACACAGACACACACAGACACACACAGACACACATAGACAAACATAGACACACACGGACACACACGGACACACACGGACACACACAGACACACACAGACACACATAGACAAACATAGACACACATGGACACACATGGGTGTGGTAAACAGTGACCTATGTACTGCACAGGTGGACAAATGCAAGACAAAATAGTATTAATAACCTGGCCTTGTGGAGATCTCAAGGACCACAGAGACTTTCGTTGTTTAGGCTATTTGGTGCCGAAGGTTTGGCCTTTTCTATGATGACGCAGATTTCCATATATAATGTATCGTCATCTTCTTCATGGGCACACATGGACACACATGGGCACACATGGGCACACAGAGACAAATGATTAACACATGGCCTTACAAAGAAAACATTTCGCAAGATCATGAGCACAAATGCTTGTTCTTTGATTATATAAATTATGGCAAACTGATTTTCAACTCTTCACGCACATTTCAACTCTATACTCACATTCCCTGTTGCCCTCTGTCATGCCCCTCGCTGCCTCAGTCGTGGGCATCTGTGTAGCTGGTCGTGGCCCCGCCCTGCTCTCTGCTGTAGCCTCTAAGTGGACATCAGGCTTTGAATCATTGATGAGCCTTTTGCACATGGCCTTTTGCACAAGTGACAAGATAGAGCAGGCTGGCACTGGCTCTGGGGCGGACACAGCGGAGCAACCTCAAACACAACTTTCTGGATCGAGGGCACGATGCGTCTGGCTCTGGGGTTCTGCCAGCATTTGGCCAAGGCCACGTTTCCCTCACGTTCCATCAAGAAGCAGGACCTGGCCCAGGTAAGGCGCACTGCTGCAGGCTGCTTTACAATCACAGCACTCGGACTTTGGGCCTGACCAAGTATGAGGCGCTATTTTTAAATCTCTCTATATACTTGGCAAATTGATTATATTCATTCTCGCTGAAACACTGCGAACAAGAACAATTATCTTGTTGTAAAAAAATGCAAGAAATGTCTCCCTTGGAATGAGAAAATAAAGCAAGTTCTCAAATAACACTAAATGGCTTCGTCCCATCAGCAAATCTTGTTTTAAGACAGGCAGACAGTGCTCAAATTAAGATAAAAACCACTCAATTCAAGCAATTACTACCTCATATTTGATCATTTTTTGCAGTTTAGTATAGACTTCTTCTCCTCTTGACACGCGATTATCTTTTTAACAGTCCCGGTGTTTTCTACTAGACATCTCAAAGTGTTTGCCTTGAATACAAGCAGACTCATAAATCCTAATGTAGTTTGTCAAATGTTTGTTTACTCAATCAATTACTTTTATGATCTGCGCTGAGGCTGAGTAGGTTTCCTCCAGGCGCTCTGGTTTCCCCATTACCCAAAACATGCTCTATAGGTGAAATCCTTCAGCTCTGCTCCTGAAAAACATCGTCATCCGGAGATGGGTCCCTGGGCACGTTTTGTTTTATGTTTACTGACCATTTTTCTTTTGCCTGTGTTTCGCATTTGGCTCCATAGCAAGTTGGCATATATCTTTGAAAAGGGTAGTCCCATTTTGTTTTTGATTTGAGCTTATAATATTTGAAAAGCGCAATTACTGATTAATCATTGTTGTAATTTCTATTTAATCCCTAGCCTTAGTAAAGTATTAAAACAAGAAACGTCATAACTGTATTAGGAGAATAACCCTTTTTAACATCGTTGTTGCATTTTTATTGTGTTTGTTTATATTTTAGACAATATTTCACACATTTTCAAGTCAACAAATCCAGTCCCCAGTTTTACAAACCCGGCGTCTCTTTGTGTTCAGTTTCATCGCAGCAGACGACGATACTGAATAATTGTTCTGCTTCATTTTTCTGCTTTCAAAGAATGGCCTGGAGTTTGTTGTGGGTAAAAAAAAAAATGGAACAAGTTAATTACCTTGTTTCCGCAGCTGCTGTTGGGTGCACTGTATTGACGCGTGTCTTCCGCTCGCCATCCCCAGCAGCTGAAATCTATCGCACGAAGTAGGTCGCACGCCATTCTCACCACGGCGGCGGAACTGCAGGGAATGGGAATTGCTTTTTTGGTTTTTTTTTACATGTTTAGAATCAGCAACGCTTTGGTGCTGGGGTTGTTGAAGAGCACCTATGGAATACTAGCTCTGAGGAGAAATTGATAGTTTTGTATTGGTCTGTTTTCAGGCTTCATCATTCTGCAAACAGCATGATTAGTTGATTTCATGAAAACATCTTTCTTATCTTTCATGAGCTTAGCTTTTTTATATATAGTTCTATACACTTGCAACGCTGTATGTCTCGCAGGAAATATGGTTCAGGTAGTACTGCTGAGAATATAAATGTATATAAATGGAACTGGCTTTTTGGTATTTTGTGATGGATTGAATGATTTGTCAAATGAATTTCGTTTTTGTGCCTTTTACAATGTTTGATTTTCTCATTGTTGCATGTAGTTCATCCTGGTCCGTTGGTTGATGCATTAATGCTGTGGTGAAGAATACATTGTCTGCCTTGTCAAATATATTTGACAAGGCTATACTATATTTCTTGCACATCAGACCACACAATCACGGTCTTTGTATTATTAGAAAAGGTTTTATGTTCTTCAAACGTCTAAGAAGGAGCAATGTAAGTGACGGGATGTCAGGTTGGTTCAGCCCAATCCTATTTTTGGTTGTAACATAGTCAGCGAATAGAATATGTTTTGAATCAAACAACTGACCGAAATAAACATTCATTCATTCATTATAAGTCAATTCCACCCAAACTAGATCTAGAGGGCGACAGTTCAAAACTAGTGATGTTCAACGTTTTAAGAGCCATGAACCAGTTAGATGGTTTAAAAAAAAAAAAAGAAAACATCTCCATCTTTTGCGATTGGAAAATGAGTTGCCCAATTCAATTCAATGTATTTTGTATATCCTTAAATGACAACAGTAGTTATCTGGGAGGAATTAACAAAACTTTTGAATTTGCCAACATAGATTAGAGAATCAAATGGTTCAAACATGTCAAATGCAATGATAAAAAACACAGACATATTCAAATGTTGTTGAATATTGAATGTCGTGGATCATCACCAATGTCCTTGGACACATTTGGGTTTCTTGTTCTTGTTGGAAACTGGATGTAGTCTCCAGCATCTTAGTCCAAGTCTCATTTGGTATTTTGAAAGAATTGAACGCCTATGTGAGCTTTCCTGCCTATTCTTTTTCTCTCGGGTTTCCAAACTAAATTGTTCGCTTCGTCACGTCTCTCATCCTCTTCTCCCCTCACTCAGTTTCTGTTTTCCGTCCGCAGGCCACGGAGAACGAGCCAGGCGACATGGACCTGAGCGGACTCCCGGAGACGGCAGTGGACTCGGAGGAAGACGATGACGAAGAGGACATCGAGAGATCGTCGGACCCTCTGATGAGCCGGGACATCGTGAGGGACTGTCTGGAGAAGGACCCCATGGACCGGACCGACGATGACATAGGTGAGGGACATGGGGACAGAGATCTATTCTATTCTAAAAGATCTTGAATAATGTTTTCTTTGTTGTTCCTGGAAGAGAATTGTAGAGTTTCCGGAGTGGGAAGTTGTATTCATACTGTATATACTATGGCAGGATTTAGTATTTCATGACCATTTTACATACAACTTAAAATAAAAGAAATGTATTGTAGAATATGTTTACCAGTACTACTAATAGTTTGGAGCCCAACAATTACCAGAAAACTTTCAAAATGTCAATCATGTCTTCATCAACCCACCGGCAATAATACATTTATGTAATTTAGGGTTTATTTTGTCAGTTTGCGATCCTGAATTCTGCGTGGTTTGTAGGGAATGTAAACTTGTAGGGTTAGCTGCTTATGGATCCAAAATACAAACACAACAGTCACTGCAAAAAAATATCAAATATGAGGTAATAATGTTGTTCGAAATACGTTTTTTTTTAATCTTCATTTGAGTTCATTCTGACTTTAAAACAAGATTATCCAATGGGTGCAAAGCCATTTAGTCTTATTTGAACTGATGCTTTAATTTATCATTCTAGGGAGATATTGCTTGTATCTTTTTCAAACAAGATAATTCTGCTTGTCCTATTGCCAAATCTTGTTTTAAATCAGTCAAAAAATTAAGAATTATTTTGACCAATTATTTTTCTTTACTTTTAGCAGTGCTATTTTTGTTCAATGTCAGTGTCACTGGTTGAAGAAATCATTCGCAGTCGGCAAACACAATTCAGACTTTCATTCTGTGTTTGACTGAGTTCATTCTGAGCCCGAAGTTTTCACATTTCAAATAATGAAAGACAAGAGAAAAGTACGCAAGATCAGAACGTCTTTTGCAAATCTCCAAAGATATCCTCATCATATTCCCTTCCGTTTATTCTCCAATTCCATTTAAAATCTGCGTGTTAAACGTGTTTGCACATCACTTTTTCAGTCATTTTTCGACATCCCTTTTAAACCTTCCTCTCCGCCGCCCCGATTATGATATCGCCAACCAAAAATGAAATGCACACGGCTCCGTTCGACAGGGCTGGGCTACAGATGCGGTCTCCCATCCCCCACCGCCCCTCCTCTCCTCTCCTCTCCCCCGCCAGGCTTTTCTAGGTCACTCCGGCAGCATCCTCACCTCTCTTGCAGTGCATTAAAGTTTCAGTGCAGCGTTTCATGCCCGAGCAGGTCACAGAGTTCACCAGTTGGGAAAGTTACACAAAGAGAGAGACGTCAGACAGCGTGGAGTGGTTTTAAACATGTAGTGTTTTAGTGGGAATGAAGGCGCCGCAGCAGAGACACGCCCATGTCACAGTGTGGGAAGTGTGTGCCCAGACAAAGGAATGGAGTACAGTAGAGATGGCAGAGGAAGTATTCTCTTTGATGTAAACAAAAAATAGTATGACAAAGTCGACGTGTCAGAGTCGTTCACAAAGGCTTTCCAGAGCAATGATGAAAAGTACTGAAAGAATTGGGGATAGTTGTTTTAAAATGGACGTGTTTTTACAGCCAAAAATCACAGGACACGTCTCAAACAGCAGCAGCACCTTTTCTTAATCTGGTTTTATCATTTGTCATTTGTAAAAAATAAAAAAAATAGGTCACAACACATGTAGTCAAACTTTAAATTGGCAGAATTAACTTGTTGTATAATAATCTATGCATCTGTCACTGAAGTCTTTAAGTGTCCAAAATAGCTCTATATAAGTAAGATGTATTATTATTATTATTTTTAAAAGTCAGAAAACCCATTTTGCTAACACAAGCCCAAAGCAGAGATCATAAACACAAGTTCACACTGTCAACCAGCCAACTTCAGCTCTGTTAATATACACATGCCATGACAGTAAAGCTTAAAGAACCTCTAGAATCCAGTATCTAACTATTCATTTACCTTCAGCTTTACCAAATATCAATGTCCGTGCCTTTTACTCTCATACATTGACTTTTAAGCGCCCTGCATAATACATTCTTAGCCGTGTAGCATGGTTTTTCTAGCATCATAGGCTAATGCTCTTTGATACAACATCAAAGATTGTTTTCAAATATTTATGACATGCATTATTATTTATTGGCGGGGTCGTATCGGTTCCAAAGGATACACCTATCACTCATTCAGCTCCATATAGAGCAGGGGTCTCCAATCTTTTCCAATCGGAGAGCTACTTTTATACAAAAGAAGAGGCAGAGAGCTACTCCTTTTTGCGTTCATAATAAAAATCTATGTAATAATAACGCACATATGGAGAACAAAGGCAAATATATTGTTATTTCTGTATAAGCCTATATTATTTACTTATAATAGATATGTAGTGACTCAAAATTTATTCAATAAATATCATTCGTTAAATTGTAAATCCTTTGGCAAGCTACCTGAAAGGGACTGGAGTCACAGGTTGGAGACCCCTGATATAGAGGCAAACCAGTAGTGTTCCAATAAGAGCACTGCATCAAGCCGCCCACAGAAAATCCTTCATTTAAATTTGTTTGTATAACCCTAAATCATAGACGGTATCTCGGAGGACTTTACAAACTTGTCGCTAACACAGATCAGAGAATCAAATGGTTCGAACCTAGGGGCTGCAGCAATAAAAACACATCAATGTGCATAAATATTGTTGAATGTCCTGGATCGGCAATGAACAACTCAAAAAACCCAGTGGGGAAGAAAAGTGAGAAACCTTTAATGCAGTGGTGTCCAAACCAGTCCAGAAAGAGCCGCTGTGGCTGCAGGTTTTCTGTCAGACCCAGCAGGAGCAGAGCAGACTCCACCCATTTCATCAAATCTTCAGGTTTAGACTGAACTCACTTGAGGAAATGGCCGTAGTCTGCGCTACTCCTGCTGGGTCTGATAGAAAACCTGCAGCCACAGATGCTTATTGTAGGGAATTAGGGATGTTCCAAAGCCATAGAGATTGGAATCTGCTACAGATAATGTCTCATTACAGCTCGAGTTGATAGTTATTTTAATAAATTCGAAATTAAACGTTGTTAAGTCCAAGATGTGACATACTGTGGTATATTCACGATATGATTGTCCATGCTCGAAACCCATCAAACCGGACCGAACAAGAGGTGATCTGCAAAGAAGAATGGTCCAAAATACCTTCAACCAGAATCCAGACTCCATAGGAACTTATAGGAAGCATTTCTGCGGAAAGAGGATGTACAAAATATTGACTTCTTTTGTAGTGCTTATACATATGCACATTTATGCCTAGTTTGGTTTCAATAATTCTTGCACACTTTCTGTAAATGCTACAAACTTTCTTTCACTTCTCGAATATCACTGTCTCCTATGTGATACATTTAAATGAATTTTTTCACCCACACAAACAAGGATTTATTACGGAAATTCATAAAAATGGATAGGGGTGCCCACACTTTTGCCTTCCGCTGTAAGTGTGGTACTGTATGTATTTGCTTGTAGTGCAGACTGCTCTGTGTTTGCTGACCACTGATATAAGTATCTCCACACACACACTTCCATGCTCTACACACACGATGCTGTCTGTGCGGGGGCTGCTGTAGTATTCTCTCTGCTCCCAAAGAATACATTATGACACTTTTTAAATAAAACAAAGCCGTCTTGTCACAATCGCTGTCATGTTAAAACAGCCTCCCCGAAGGCTCTTTTTATTCGCCGCGTTTTTGGTGTAAAAAGAGTTTCTCAAAGGAAGTGTTGACAGTTTTGACATAGAATGTATTCTGAGTATGCACTTGTGTTTTCATGTGTGGAATTCTAATTTACGCTGCTGTAAGAGAAATCACTGTTTGACGTAAAGAAAGGAGAAAGATGGAATTGGATCCTGTTGTAGTTGTAACAGGAGCTGTGTGTGTGGGACAGCAGTTTGACCCAATGAAACACACTGATCATCACAATGACATCACAACGAACACGGCTCATCTGTTCCTCTGTGGGATATTTTTACATTAATAAAAGTGCAATGAAAATACACGCATAAAAAATAATACAATGCAATATAAGAGACGAGAGCCCTGTTTACGTTTATTACGACTGCATACTAGATAGATGGATGGAGCTCTGCATAGGAGAAATTCTTGTCTGCAGAGTCTGCTTGGTTGGGACTATTTTCTCTGCTCTGGTTCTGGAGTAAAAATCCTGAATGTTTTCTTTTGCATTTTTCAAAATAAATTGGCATTCCTCCAGTGTATTTTCGCTTGATCTGCTTGGTCAGGACCATCCATCCTCTCTGCTCTGGAGTGGATCCGTGTGAAACAGTGTACTGCAGTAAGATTTACAGATACAACATTTCAAGAAAAATAATGATTGTAAAAGGCAAAACAACAAGTGTTTCAGAGCTGCTTAGGACTTGCTGCCGTTTCCAGGACATAAAAAAGTAAACCTAATACATTTGTCTTTTAGTTAATATGGTAAATATATGCCTAGTACTCAAACTTGTCCTCTTCTTCTCTCCAGAACAACTTCTGGAGTTCATGCACCAGCTGCCGGCCTTCGCCAACATGACCATGTCTGTGCGGCGAGAGCTGTGTGCGGTGATGGTGTTCGCTGTGGTGGAGCGGGCCGGAACCATCGTCCTCAACGACGGAGAGGAGGTGAGGACCACATACAGAGCCTGAACTGTCAATCATCTCTACATGACGCCAGAGAAGCACATGTTACTAATACATGAGGTCTGGATCTCTGCCCGAGCCACTCATTTCAGAACTGTGATCCAGAAACCAGAAACATGCTGATTTTATTTTGTTTATTTTTTTGGCTACTTCCAGATTGAGCCAAAAGACCTTCTTGTTTCCCTTTAGCTGAAATAGTGTCCTTTGGTGAGATCAGTATCATTTAACACTACATGCCAAAACATGGTCCTAATATTCCTTACTCTAATATTGTCTTAGATAATATATAAATATATATCACAACGAGGGTGGCTAATTTATTTAGCTTGTTTAATTGACTAAATATCCGTACTGCAATGTCTGAACTTGTAATCTTGCATCGTGCTACTGTGTCTGTGAGCAGATGCATTTTACTATTCTTCAGGGTTGCAGGCAGCATGACAACACCTGCATTCAAATTGTGTTTATTTATAGATCAATGAAAAAAGTTAGGTTTCACATTCTTCTCTGGACTCCCACATAGCACCGTATAATCTTTCATTTACAGCAAGAAAAGAACTCCAGATGACTCATTAACTCACCTTTTCAGACTTTCCCCTCATGACCAGTTCTGTTCTTTTCTCCCTTTAATTACACTCTGTTTTTAACTGTGTTTTTACAGTGTCCTTGGGTGTTTTGAAAGGCGCTTTTAAATGAAATGTATTATTATTATTATTATTTTGTTTTAGCTCTTACGATTAGTATTATTATTATTAGTATATTACCCGAAGAATTGAAATTCTAGTTTGCACAGACAACAAATATGGCAGGATTATGAAACACAAGTTAGTCAAACCCAAAAAAAAAAAAAGGATTTTTTCCCAATCCATCTCTGAACCGTGCTGTACCAGTCCATCTTCCTCCTTCCATCACCTGTTTTTTTCCGCTCTATTAAGCGCTCATGGCCGCAGCCATCAGTGTTGCGTGTCCCTCAGGCATCAGGACCAGGCCCCAGTTATCCCCATTTTTCCTCTCTTCAAGACGCAACAGGACTTTTCAATGAAGACAATTTGCGATGTTTTTTCCCCTTCACAAGCGCGCACAAAGCAGCGCAGAGTGTCCCTCCAGGGCTGAGTCACTTCTCTCCTAAACGTCCGATCTCACCAGGTTCAAGGTTCAGCGAGCATAGTGCAGCCGTGTGGAAGTTGGAAGAGCTTGATCCAATTCATACCCCAGGCGCCTTTCATTCTGCTGCAAAGGCTAAATATTGATTAAGGATGCGGCGCAGAGAGTGTGATTTATTTTGGTTTTTCAGACAGGTTTGAGGAGTCTGAAGGCGGCCATCTGTTCTGGCTTTCCACGTTCTAGTGACTGCATATGCTGCTCTGTGTAATGTAAACTCCATCAAAGTCATTAAGCAAAGAGCGGCTGTTGTTAACCATCATCACAATCGCGCAATTGCTCATTCTCTAACGAAGAAGTTAAAGAAGTGACAACGCTGTGGAAGGAGTCCTGAGTAGGGCTGCATGAGTCATCGCAATCCAATCGTGGCTAGTATTAGTCACAAATGTCACAGTTTTGGCAAAAGTCGTGGAGCTAAGAACATTCCACAGCAGAGTCTTTAATCAGCTCAATAGTTGTATTTGGGATGATATAATCATTTATTATAACAGCCCTGTGCACATTGCTAATCAGTTTCTACTGTTTGTGTCTGTGTCTGTGTGTATGTGCGTGTTTCTGTGTGTGTGTCTCAGCTGGACTCGTGGTCGGTGATCCTCAACGGCTCCGTGGAGGTGACGTATCCCGACAGCAGGACGGAGGTGCTCTGTATGGGCAACAGCTTCGGAGTGTCCCCCACCATGGAGAAGGAGTTTATGAAGGGCGTGATGAAGACCAAGGTGGACGACTGCCAGGTACAACATGGAATTTGGTCTTTGGACTGGACTCTACGTGAGCCGAGGGGGGTGAAAGTGGTAGGGGAAACCGGAGTACCCGGAGGAAACCTACGCAGACACGGGGAGAACATGCAAACTCCACTCAGAAAGGCCCTGGTCCGGCCGGGATTCGAAACCAGGACCTTCTTGCCGAGAGGCGAGAGTGCTATCCACTCAGCCACCGTGCCGACCTGTGGTTGCTTGGAAAGTCAAGCCATGGTTTAGCGCCCTTTTCGATCCTGGAATTTGGCTTTAGCTAAATGAGTGGTGTCTAGCAACTCGGTTGTTGCTACAAACAAAATTAGCATAAACGTGTCTTTACACTCGTGCTCAAATAACCTGTTTAAAGCGAGCTCTAACTGGCCCCTTTGGCATTGATGACCTTGATAAGCCTTTTAATAATCCATATAGCGCACAGACCTGGACAGCCTGTACCCTCCGTCTAGACTTTAGAGTTCAGACAGAGAACAACCGTACTTATGTATACAGCACATATTATAGCTCTGAGCCGTCATGTGCTTAATGTGAATAAATATCAAACGATGAATGTAAAGAAAAGGCTTTGTGTGCTATGCTGGGAACTCAATGGAAAACGTTTTATAGTGAAAGCTGCGTGTTATTCACTGGAGACTTTTTTTTCCCAGCCTTCTCATATTGTATGTGTAAAGCATGCAACCAAATCCTGGTCACGGAAATGTGACTATTCATTTTTAAAATTGTATCTATCCTTTATCCTAATTTAGCAGAGTGATAATGGACGTTATTAGTGCAAAATCTGGATATATTTAGTTATGTTTCTTCTGTACTGGGATGGAATACTGGGATCTGACGCTCGGTTGTGGTTTCAGTTTGTGTGCATTGCTCAACAAGACTACTGCTGCATCCTCAACCAAGTGGAGAAGAACATGCAGAAGGTGGAGGAGGAGGGGGAGATCGTGATGGTCAAAGAGCACCGCGAGCTGGACCGCACCGGCACCAGGAAGGGCCACATCGTCATCAAGGTAAGAACGCACACTTCACATGTGTCACAGAATGGAAACTCAAGCCACTACTTTCACAGGCACCAGGAACATCATTTCAAACTTTTCAGAGATTTGAAATTCAGGTTCAACATGTTCAAAGCAAACAACATCAGCAAAACTAACAATAATTGTCCGTGACTTACAAAGCTCCAGTTTAAAATCTTCGGCTGCCTTCTTTCTTTTTACCAGTGAATATTGTTTAGAGTTTTGCTATGAGAGAATGTGTCTCCAAATTTTCAGAGCAGCTAAAATACATCCATTCAGCTAGTGCACTTTACAGTCAATGATCCTCATGAGGAAAAGGCTTTATCAGAGGTGACGAGAGAAGCCATGTGTATGCTACTTTAAAAAGATCATCTGAGAGACCATAATGTGTGTCTCTCAATATTAATGCACTTGTCAATAAGTGAGATTCAGATACGCTGAGATTGCAATTTTTTCGATCTCTTGTTCTTGGCACCCGGCCTGTACTAACATCAGTGAATGATTGCTCTGGTGTGAGGCTTGTGTGACATTCACCTTCATGTCTCTTGCCTTCCTCCTCCTCCTCATCCTCTTCGTCCAGGGCACAGCAGAGCGCCTCACCATGCACCTGGTGGAGGAGCACTCGGTGGTGGACCCCACGTACATCGAGGACTTCCTGCTCACCTACAGGACCTTCCTCTCCAGCCCCATGGTGGTGGGCAAGAAGCTGCTGGAGTGGTTCCACGACCCCAGCCTCAGGGACAAGGTACCATATAGACACACACGCACACACACATGCGCACACACACACACACACACACACACCAGGGCTTTGTGTTCAAACCACAATATGTTTAGAATTTATTTTTCCTAGTTTGTTGAACCTTTATGCAGCTATAGATGGATACTTTATCGATCCCTGTTGGAGAAATGAATGTAGCTGTATTTGCTCCATATTATTTATGTCGGCTTATGTAAAGGGTTAGTAATATATAGTTATATTGCTACAAAAGCAGATTGAACTCGAGATTTAATGAGCGCTAGCCTTTTATCACCAACACTCCGTGACTACAGTACGAGCAGAGAAAAACAAAGTAACAAGAGACGGCGACAAATGTTATTTATCCCACAAAAGGTCACCACCGATCGCCGATACAGACATCAACTCATTGTCAAATATATTATAAAACGTGTAAGACATGAGCAACCCCCTCGCCCCTAAAACAATGAAATAAAAGCATAGAGCAAGGACGTTGGATGACAGCTCTAATCCTCCTCTCTCCTCCCTTCTCCCTCCTTCTCTATCTTCCCTTCTCTCTCCTTCTCTCTCCTTCTCTCTCCTCCTTTCTCCTCCCTTCTCTGTCCTCTCTCCTCCTCTCCAGGTCACACGGGTCGTCTTGCTGTGGGTAAACAATCACTTCAACGACTTTGAGGGAGACTCGGCCATGACGCACTTCCTGGAGGAGTTTGAGAGCAACCTGGAGAAGGAGGTACGCTCGTTGGTCAGGTTTCCTTCTCTTCTTTAGAGTTGTGTAGTCTTGTGTTGGAGTTTAGAGGGGTATTGTAAAGTGTTTTTGTGACTTCTTTGGAGTTTTATTGTCCATAGTTGTATCGTTGACGCCTGTATTCCCGTGGTGTGTGTGTGCAGAAAATGTGTGGCCATCTCAGACTCCTGAACATCGCGTGCGCCGCCAAGGCCAAGCCGCGGCAGGTGACACTGACCAAAGCGTCCCGGGAGTCCCCCTTGGCCTTCAGCCTGCTGGGGGGGCAGGAGAAGGGCTTCCGGATCTTCATCGACGCCGTGGAGCCGGGCAGCAAGGCGGCCGAGGCGGGGCTCAAGCGGGGAGACCAGGTACTTTTGTCTTACAGCCGTTTAAAGTCGGGATGCATCACTTTTTATGTCAGCGTCTCGAAGGCACTTTGGGGAATTCTCCTTGCCTGGTACTCTGTGTGTTATTGCTCATAAAACAGTCATCTTGTAATACACAGTCAAGCACTGTACTGGGTTTATCAGTAAAATCTGGGCTGTCATTTTATTCATAATGTACACGTGTCCTATGCCTGTAATAAAAGTTATGGAATCATGAGAAAAAGAAGAAAAAAACTTTATTTTTAATAATGAATATTCCATGTTTTTTTGTCCAACAGAAAAACTCTTGTAAAAGTATTATGGTGTGAACAGATCCGACCACAACATGCTATACAACTACAATACAATACAATTTATTCTTGTATAGCCATCATCTTCTCATTTTAAAACATCTTATCGTTTCCTTATGCATTTTTGTACAAAATAGCCCTGTAAGTCACTCTGTGGGCTGAGAGCTGATTGGCTAAGTATGGGACCACCCTCACTCGGCCAATTTCTGCTTTTTGTCCAAAAAAGCTGATCTATAGATGTGACAGAGGCCAAGAATATATGCATGTAAAAACTAGAGATGGAACCTGACCTGTTTTAGAACCAGGAACTATCCATCCATCCATTTTATGATTGATTGCACTTTTTATTGATTGACTCCATTTTTCTCTTGGCTTTAACTCGCAATTAAATCCTGTATCAATGTTTGCATGAGGCCGTTCTCCAGTCGTCTGCCTTCTCACCTCTGCCTCTGACACAAGGACACTTTCTGAATGACCAGCACATGTTTATCTCTAGACCTGCGCTAACCACTGTTCCAGGACACTTTCTGCTAAATTCTCTTATTTATTTTTTAGTCAAACTATATATAATCAGGAAAGTCCCTCTTTTTATGTCCTGGACGAGAGGCATCAAAAGTACACACAGTTACATCACAATGAAATGAGTTCAGGTAATATCCAGTCTTTTGGCAACACGTTCCATGTAGAAGGAGCAGAGTCTGTAAAAGCCTTTTTTTCCCAGTTCTGTGCGGGTAAAATGAACAGAGAGCAACAAAAGAGCATTTGATTGAAAACTGTAAGAACTAACATCTCTCTGTGTGATTAAAAGACAGATGTAGAGGGCAATAGACAGAGCATGGCCTTCTTTTATATCCATCTCAAAACAGTGTTCCCCTTCAGAGACTGACCTGGAGATGATTTCAGCTTCATCCACGCAATTATCAAAGAAACCTGACTCCCGCCCCTTCTGTCCAATTGTTCTTTTTTCTAACGCACCCCACTATGGGACAAATAAAGGATCTCTTAGTCTTAATCTTAATCTTAATTTGTATACATGACATTTAAAATAGCAGCTCCACAGATCGAAAATGACCTCCGCTCACTCGCATATTGTCCCTGGAGTATTTAATAAACAGTGATGCTCAGTTCACTGGTTTTATTTCATTTAACCAACTGAATTGTTCTATTTGTGTAACATCATTAGTCCGAGGACATGACTTTCTCCTGCAGACGTGAGCTCGTGTCCAGGGGCTAATGAGAGCTGCAGGAGCGCCCTGTGGTCACGCTGCGCACAGTCCATGCAATCACCTTTTTAATTAGTTCAGAATGCACTTGTTGGTGTTTACATGCCGCCTAATGTCGCAATGTAAACTTTTAACTTTAAACATATGCATTTTAATATCTTTAGGGGAGTTCAATTTATTCACACACTTTTACTTTACAAGAATCTTTCTGTTGGACAAACTGCACGTTTTGAAACACAAAAGTTAGATACCCCAGATTTAAGAAGAAGTTTTGCGGATGGAACTTGTCCAACCTCCGTACAGGGTTGTGCAGATGCATTTACCAGGACATGGGCATCCTTAATCAGTCAATCAATCTTTATTTGTAGTGTGCCTTCATGCACAGGGCAACACAAAGCGCTTCACAGTCCCCATCACACAATAGTTGTAGTCTGGTTAAATTGGGAACTTGAAGTACAGTTTATTCTTACAAGTGCCCACCCGCGTCCTCACATTTCACATAAATTACATTTTCAGCAGGAAGAAGTCAGAAACTGCTGATCTGCGGAAAATTCTCATCCCTGGTTTATCCTGAGCATTCATTGGTCCAGAGAATTCACCAATGAAGAGAATTATCTAAAAAGAAAAACAGATGTGTACGCTCCTGGCTCCAGAGGTGGAAAAGCGGGAGTGCGTTCCCGACCTGAATGGGTTAAAGTAATACTACTGTGAGCTAAACATAACTTGCCCATCGGGAAACAGGCTAAGACAGCGCACTTATCCTCTGTCACAAATCCTTAGTTGCCTCGGGCAAAAAATTTCTATCTCTGGAGCAAGACCATTTTTTTAGCTCATTATTTGATTTTTTGTCAACATTATTCTTTCTGCTTTCAGATTTTGGAAGTGAACGGACAGAACTTTGAGAACGTGCTGCTGAGCAAAGCCAACGAGATCCTGAAGAACAACACGCACCTGTCCATCACGGTGAAGACCAACTTATTAGGTGAGTTAGCTCCTCCCTGTAGGCGGAGCTTATCCTCATTAAGATGATTTATTTATAGGGCACATGTCATCCACAGTTTCCAAAAGTGATATTCAGAAAAATATAAGAAATACAAATTAAAGCTATAGCAATAGTCATCCAAGTCTTCCACTTATGGCACAAATCAAATTAATATGTGGCTGTATTTCATCGCATTCTCTGTTTTCTCAGCAACAAATGCAAATCTTCACGTTATCCTTCCAGTGTTCAAAGAGCTGCTGACCAGACCTGAGCAGGACCACGACATGGAGCCGGAGGAGGAGCACGACCGGAAGAACGGAGCGCCACACCTGCCCAAGATCGGGGACATCAAGAAGGGCAGCCGCTACTCCATCCCTGACCTGGCTGTGGACGTGGAGCAGGTGATGGGGCTGGAGAAGGCCAGCAAGAAGTCCAAGTCCAACAGCGTGGGCGGACGCAACAAGCTCAAGAAGATCTTCGACAAGACACTCACCAGCATCCTACCTCCTAAACCCTACAAGTAAGTACACAATCTGACCTCTAGAGTTTCAAGTCCAGCCACTGACCTCGCAAACTTCCAAGTGTATGTGAAGCCGTTTCTTGCCAAATTTAGATGTTTATTTATTTAAAGGATAGTGAGGTTTGAAGCTGTTCAAAAGTCTCCATCCCCCAGTTATCAGTTTTATGTATCGCCCCTTTTACAGCGGTGACACCTTGTAATCTTTTGGGGTAGTTGTGGTTGCTGTCAATTCCAGGGCCGCCTTGTATGAACTCTGCACGTTTGAGATCTGCCCTGAGCAGCTGGATTTTGTTATCACTTAAAAATGGTAAACGTGTTTGTTTGACCATGAATGGCTTCGCAGAACTTCTGTCTCTGAAACCTCAGTTAGAGGTTTTGCAAAGCCATTCATGGTCAAACAAACATATTGACAATTTGGCAGGTCCACAAGTTTGAAAGTTTATACATCTCAAATTGTGTACCTTCCAAACCCTTCAAGTCGGTACAGCATCAGTCACACATTCAATGACTGAACTTCAGCTTCACTGTAGTTAAGAGTATTTTCAATTCAGTTCAATGTATTTTTTTAATTGGCCCATATCATAACAGAAGTTTTCTTTGAGGACTTTATAAAGTTGTAGATTCGTTTAAACAACAGTTCAAACACAGGAAATGCAATGATAAAAAGCATAAATGGTCCATAAGGGGCAGATGACCAGTGTTCCTAAATGTTGATTAAATTGTTTATCTTAATAACTACAGATTAGTTGTTACCGAATATGGAGATATTAACATAGATTGTAGTAATCTATTTGGCCTGATAAAGATTTTGAAAATAAGACCTGGAGAAAAACTGCTGAGCAAATCCACACACACACACACACACACACACAGTGCCCCCTGTTGTCTGTGTGGTAGAACTGTTGTCTCACCTCCCCCTCCTCCTCCTCTCCTCTGTTGCCATAGCGACGTTTGCGTGGGCCAATCGCAGGACGACAGCATCGTGGGCATGAAGCAGTCCAAGCAGATCCCAGCGGCTCTCCCTGTCAGCGGGAACCTGTCCTCATCCAACCCAGACCTGTTGCAGTCTCACCACCGCATCCTGGACTTTAACAACCAGCCAGGTACTCCAGTGCTTCCCAACCCGCGGAGACAGGACACCATTACAAACGTCAAAGTTAGCTTTATTGTCCCATTTGGGGAAATTGGTTTTGCAGCAAGCAATCATGTAAAAACAGGCAGACACAGTAAAATCACAACATTGAAGATGAGAGAGGATGACACAAAGCTAACCCATCACAACCCCTGGAAAAAATCTAATCAAATAATTAAAAAAACAAGTTCACATTCCCCAGGGATATCATACTCATTTCAGCCGAGGGCCTTGTTAATAACCATCGATTTTTTTTTTTTTTTTTTATTTTGGCTGTTTTTTACTATTAACTTTATCACATTACTTTTCATTACTGTATGTATTTGGATTTTTTTAGCTTGGATTTATGAGAACAAAATGCGCTTTGGTTTTGTGTTTTTCTGCAAATTATTCCCGGCTCTTGGACTCATTCAACCAAAATCCTGGATATATTATACATACAAGAACTAGAACTATTTTAAATTCTAAATGGACCAATATATTTTCCTTGCAACAGTGAGGAGATCTCAGATTTTTTTGGATAATTATTACTTTTTATACTGCGGTTTGCATCTATAAACTCCCTCTAACAACATTTCAAAAATATAACTGATATTATTAAATGGTGTTTCATTATATAGTAGTAGTATTGTAACGTGTGTTTTGACTTTCCACATGAGCCACAGTCACATCTGCTCAAGCCCAGCGCACATAAACAGCACTTTTATATATTTCTCAGAGACCCTTTGAGAAATTGAACCATTTGTAATTTTGTAAAAAGGCCATTTTGTGAATTAAAGCCTTGAACGAATGTCTCCTCCACTCTACAGTCTATGATTCAAACACCTCTGGAGACGTGCTGCTATAAATTAAGACCGAGATTTTGCGTAACCCCGTGTCTCCGCTGTTTTCACGCTCTTCTGGATTAAAGAGTGATGATTTTACTTCTAGATTTAGTGTTTTTAATGTTCAAACTGCTGCTGTCAGGTCGCACAAAACTTACACCTTACAACTCCCTACAGCAATACAATCATTTCTGTAATGTGTGTCATGTTTTGTGCGTCCGTACTTTCTGAAAATGTTAGTTGAGACTTCTAAAAGCTTTTGTTCAGTTTCAGTTCAGTTTAGTTTATTTGCCATTTGCAGTAAAAAACACCACATTCATGTTGTAGAATTGCATTTCAGTGTTTTGGGCAGGTGCCAATACGACCATTTTTGGATGAAACGTTTTAGTTTAAAGTTAATTTATTAGGGACGATGTGAAGTTACATTAAAAAGATGGCTGCACCAGATTTAGCACCATCTGTAGTCCTTGACAACACAAACATACACAATAAAATGCAGTTCAGTAAAAAGTTACCAACGTCATTACACTCCTACTGTAGGTCACAATGTGATAGATACAATATAATTATCATTTTGCCACAAATTGAGAATGTGAATATTACTGGTATAAGGTGAGATACAAAGTTACAGTACAGTATGTAGCTGCATATAAGAAAAACATTTGAAATGTTATCCTAGAGCATTAGTGATTAGATTTCCAAACCTGCCATGTAATTCTCATATCTGAAAGTTCTTGCATATCTTGAATATTATATCAGGAATATATAACAGCACCAAGGTCCCATCCTGGTGCAGAGTTGGACATTAAAAGCACAATTTACTAGATAAGTTGAGATAAATCTTTATTGATCTCACAGTAGAGAAATCTACATGTTACATTTGGCAACAAGGAGACGGCAAATTCTCAAACATGTTAAAAATATATAGAGTATCTTATGAGCAATAAACGTATCTTATGCGTGATTGAAAAGTGACAATGCAGTGCAAAGTTGTCAGTCCAAGTGCAGGTCCTCATTAAGTGACTTATTGTACAGTCTGACAGCGTTTCTTCTTGCACTGTGGGCGGCTCGGAAAAGACCTCTCCTCCCCCTTTACTCACCCCAGTGTCCCCTTCTCCCTCAGACATGTCGGACCAGGTTCTGCGCGTGTTCAAGGCCGACCAGCAGTCTCGCTACATCATGATCGGGAAGGACACCACGGCGAAGGAGGTGGTGGTCCAGGCCATCCGCGAGTTCGCCCTGACCGCCGCCCCCGAGGCCTACTCCCTGTGCGAGGTGTCGGTGACTCCAGAGGGGGTCATCAAGCAGCGGAGGCTCCCAGACCAGCTCTCCAAACTGGCGGACCGCATCCAACTCAGCGGCCGGTGAGTGGGAGGACTTTAGGGAGAGCGGGCGTACTGAAAATGACTGTGAAAATGTTTAAAAGGAAAGAAATGTAAACTTTAAAAATGGAATCGATGAGCCAATTATCACACAAGAATAAGATTAGGGGTGATCCTTTGTTTGTCCCACAGTGGGGATATTTCAGTGTTGCATCATCAGTTACAGAAGAGTAGGAATGAGGAGCACACAGCACAAGATAAATGAACAATATCTACTAAACTAGTAAAATAAAACCAAAATGTTAACGTTAGCATAATCAAGAAACAAACATAAAATCTCTATCGTTAGCATAATAAAGAAGCAAGCACAAAATCTCTAGCTTTAGCAAAATAAAGAAGCTAGTATAAAATCTCTAGCTTTAGCATCTGAAAGAAGCAAGTCCAAAATCTAACTTTAGCATCTGAAAGAAGCTAGTATAAAATCTCTAGCTTTAGCAAAATAAAGAAGCTAGTATAAAATCTCTAGCCTTAGCATAATAAAGAAGCTAGTATAAAATCTCTAGCCTTAGCATAATAAAGAAGCTAGTATAAAATCTCTAGCTTTAGCATAATAAAGAAGCTAGTATAAAATCTCTAACTTTAGCATCTCAAAGAAGCAAGTCCAAAATCTAACTTCAGCATATTAAGGAAGCTAGTATAAAATCTCTAGCTTTAGCATAATATAAAAGCTAGTATAAAATGTCTACATCAAAACAAGAGAAATGACAAAAAGTAGTTCCTCTTTGAATTGACACATGCAGACCACAGCACTCATAGGCCCCTCCCCCTCCTCTTCCTCTGCTCAGGTACTACCTAAAGAGCAACATGGAGACGGAGACGCTGTGTTCGGACGAGGACGCCCAGGACCTGCTGCGCGAGGGCCAGATCTCACTGCTGCAGCTCAGCACGGTGGAGGTGGCCACGCAGCTGTCCATGAGGGCCTTCGAGCTCTTCTGCGCCATCGAGCCCACGGAGTACATCGACGACCTCTTCAAGCTGCGCTCCAAGACGGGCTCGGCCAGCCTCAAGCGCTTCGAGGAGGCCATCAACCACGAGACCTTCTGGGTGGCCTCGGAGGTGACCCGCGAGCCCAACCAGCTCAAGCGCATGAAGAACGTCAAGCACTTCATCAAGATCGCACTGCACTGTCGGGAGTGCAAGAACTTCAGCTCCATGTTCGCCATCATCAGGTGGGTTTCAGACCGTGGACTTTGTGTTTGGGTCTTTGAACTAAGTGGGAAAATTAGAACTGATTTGAGTAGTGAGTAAGTAATCTTTATTTAAATAGTGCACTTTACAGACCAAGGTGGGGGGCGACAGTAGCTCAGTTGGTAGAGCATTGGCCTTTGGGCCTGGAGGGCCTGTGAGTTCGATTCCCACCATGGGACCTACTCCAACTGCTCCCACTGATGACTGCTGTCGTTGTGTCCTTGGGCAAGACACTTAACCCCACATTGCCTGAAGCCCCCCGCTGAAAGATCAAGGCTGTTTCACAATTGACGGAGCAGCCATCTTCCTGTGGACTTACCCCCTGCAGAAGATCAGCGAGGGACTGGTGCTATGAGCGTTGGGTGGCAGCTCTCATTGCCACCCCCCCAACCCAGAAATGGACAAAGGGGTTGAAAATGAAATGAAAAAAAAAAAAACTTTACAGACCAAGGTCACACAAAAGCGCTAACCGAGGGGTCTCCAACCTTTTCGATTGTAGAGCTACTTTTATGAAACAGAAATGGCAGAGCTTATCCTTTTAGCAGTCGTAATACAATTGTAGTCTAAATAATAACTGCAGAAAGTCATGGAAAACACACGTTCTCGGCGGCACGGTGGCTGAGTGGATAGCACTCTCGCCTCTCAGCAAGAAGGTCCTGAGTTCGAATCCTGGTTGGACCAGGGCCTTTCTGAGTGGAGTTTGCATGTTCTCCCCGTGTCTGCGTAGGTTTCCTCCGGGTACTCCGGTTTCCCCTACCACTAAAAATATGTACAATAGGTCTGGCATGCGCCTCCTGTACTGGCGACCCCACTCCCATCTCTGTGTGGAGTGAGAGATAAATACCCAAAAATAATAACAATTGTCAACCGCTTTGAGACTCCAATGTGCAGTGAAAAAGGCGGTATATATAAAATAAATAAAATAAAGATTACACGTGCATAATATACCATCGTACCGTGTATTAATGAAAAGCTCTATAGTTAAATTGTGTATATAAAACTCATAAGGGATTTCAGGATCATGTGTTAAATTCTTGAATTCTTTGGAGAGATACCTTAAAGGGAGTGGCGAGTTACTGGTTAGCTCCCAAGCCACAGGTTGCAGTAAACAATTTGGAGTGTAGATACATTTTCCACTCTCTCCACACGTGATGACAGATGCAAGCCCTGGACCGTCACAATCGATTCACTCTCATTACATGTATTCCTATTGTACATGTTTTTAGTGGTAGGGTAAACCGGAGCACCATGTGGAAACCTGCGGAGACACTGGAAGAACAAACTTCACCCACAAGAAAGGCCTGGAGGTGGAATCGGACTCAGGACCTTCTTACTGTGACCGACAAGCGCTAACCACTGCACAGACATACTATTTCAGTTTTGGCTTAGGTTTATGGTGACATGACGATATAGAGAACGGTCAGAAAACAGCCTCACACTTTTTGATTGAACTCTGATTTGAAACCTCTTTGCCATCGTAATATTTGGCCTTCCTATCAAGAGGTTTGGCGCCTCGCTTCTGTCATATCTGTATGTGGAGAGAATGGAAATACCAGTATACCAATTTGTAAAGTTTTTGTGTGACCTTGGTCTGTGAAATGCGCGATATAAAAACAGCCCACTTACCATAGCTGCCTGCTTCATGGTGAAAAAGATTGTATGACTAAACCGTTTCTGTAGTATTTTTCCATAAGCTGAGTGAACACCAGCTGATTTTACCTGCTATCCACTTTGTTTTACCAATTACACAAAAAGGACTGTTGTTTATGTGAAATGAGGTCAAATGACATGATTAATGACTCCAACAACACCACAGAAAGATTTATCATGTTTCGACACTTTTAAATATAACTGCTTCTTTATTCAGCAGTGGGGATCACAGGGGAATTTTTATGCATTTTTGGAGTGAAAGTTGGGAAAGCCTTGTTTTAACACAGATGAGGCTTAAAAAACATCTTAATAATTGAATCGCGTCTTGAGCATGTGAATATCCCTCATCGAAAGATTCGCCAAAACAGATCAGAAAATCCAATAGTTCAAACACAGGAAAGGCAGCGATAACAAACACTTAGAGCCATTGGTCCATAAGTGGCAGATGACCAATGTCTATAAATCTAGATACATGTTTATCATAGGCTGTAAGTATTAACTGATGTAGTCACGCCTATCTCCGCCGTTCAAGTGTGCCACCACTTTCGGCCTCTATGGGGCTTTTCAAAACGGCCGCGGGGGCAGGAAAATGTGAAAAAAACACGCATTTGCACATGCGTTAGTCGGCACTAGCCACATTCATTTGACGAGTGCCTTCAAAATTCCACAGCGACTGAACTAGAGTGGTCCAAAAAGAATACACTCCCCTCAGCATTGACACACATGTGGAACGTTGCTTTGGGCCAAGAGCCGACTTTTGGACCATCCTGTAAAGACGTTTTCGAGAGGTAAAAAGATGTTATACATTAGCATTGAATAATTCTTATTCTGGGTCCACCCCCATTGTCCCGGGGTGGTTTTGCAAGCATGTCAGTGCACGTCATTTTGGAAATGTTTGATCCAGGACCCGCCTCCACTGATGTTTATCCACTCCTTCTCCTCTCACCTGCTGTATATTGTCAGCACTTCTATAACAAAAAATGTCTCCCTCATCCCCAGTGGCCTGAACCTGGCCCCGGTGTCGCGGCTCCGGGGGACGTGGGAGAAGCTGCCCAGCAAATACGAGAAGCTGTTCAGTGACCTCCAGGACCTGTTCGACCCGTCCCGGAACATGGCCAAGTACCGAAACGTGCTCAACAACCAGAACATGCAGCCGCCCATCATCCCCCTGTTCCCCGTCATCAAGAAGGACCTCACCTTCCTGCACGAAGGTAATACCAGTTAAGTACCGCTGACATTTCTCTGCATGAGCCGTGTGGGTGGGTGAGAGGGGGGCGGGGTCCTGTCTGGGTTGTTGTTATAGATACACATGCAGAAAACCACTTGACCCTGCCGAACTCTAAAGGAGATCAAACAATACACTTCCTGGTTCAGGCTAAAGCTACATGTATACATCATCTTCTTTAATATGTAACTACCGCTTCTACAGCTTTTCTCTGTTCTCTCATCTAGTTTAAAATGGATTGCAGGTACTCTTTATAATGTGGAAACAATGTTGTTGATTAGACCAGTCTTTCTGAATGGACGGACGAGCTCTCTCCCCATATTGGTCTAACTGTTCTCCAGCAGATCTTACTGGTGGCGTATGTGCCATAGGGAGGAACAATGTGAAATGTCCTTTATAAGTATAGAGCAGCCCTCTACTCTATGATATGTTAGGTCAGGGGTCTCAATTTTCTGATTCTGATAATACAAATCTATGTAATCAGGATAACAAAACATGGAAAACAGATGTAAAAAATACCGTAATACTGTATAGCCCAATATATATATACTTATAGTAGATGTGTTAAATCATGTGTTCAATTATAAATCCTTCAGGGAGCTACCTGGAAGGGGCTGGGGAGCTACTGGCAGCTTCCGAGCTACAGGTTGGAGACCCCTGTGTTAGATCTTCCACAGACAAAAACACATTTTCTCTTACTGACTGTATAAGTCCTGTTTTTACCTCCACCGTTGCTCCGTCTGTAAATGAAGTTCCTCACAGATTAATTAAGTTATTTGAATTGAATTTAATTTAATTTTGGTTTTTATAATTGGTAAAAAGTTCTATTTAAGTTCCAGGTTCTAGTCTAGTTCTTGTCTAATTCTACTCCGATTCACGACCAATCCCAGGTCAGGGCATGTTGATTGTTGATGAATACTTTATAGTGTCAAAAGGTTGTAAGGAAATTAAGTGAATTGCGGCAAAACAATAGCTTTTATGATCAATTTAAAACACTTCTTTCTGTTTTTATCAGGTCTGTTCATGTTGATTTTTGTTTTTCTTGAGCTTCACTGAGCATAGAGTTGTTGATCTTTAAAGCCGTTGGTTGAGTGAGAACCATGGCACACTTCTACTCCTCAACGTTTGCCTGCCCCGTTGTCCAGGTAACGACTCCAAAGTGGACGGACTGGTGAACTTTGAGAAGCTGCGGATGATCGCCAAAGAGATCCGGCACGTGGGGCGCATGGCGTCTGTCAACATGGACCCGGCACTCATGTTCCGGACCAGGTACAGAGACCGCATCCAGAGACCGCAGCCAGGCCGCACGCAAGGCCGCACCCAGAAAGCGCAGACCCCACTGAGACCGCTCCCAGACAACACCCAAACACAAACAGACAGCACCCAGACTCGACCCAACCAGGGCGCTCAAAGACCCAACCTAACCCAGACCTAACCCAGACCTAACCCAGACCTAACTCAGACCGCACCCCGACCGCACCCAGACTCCACACTGCAGTACTGTTAGCCACCCGCTGTAGGCGCTTTAGCTCCTCTCCACACGATGTAGATGTCCTGCTCCGTGCTTCATCACTTGTGTCTCTGTCTCACGACGTCCTCGCGGTGTTTATTCTGTCAGGGCTGCAGGATTCATCAAACTCGTCTCAAATTGGGAAAGATTTTGAGTAGTAGCTCACACATGACAATAGAAGGCTAAGTAACAGTTTTAACAGATGTACTCGATGAGAAGATAGGAAGCCTGGATTGGAATATCATGAATAGTTGTCAGAAAGCATTTAGAAAGTGCAATTACCACATTGCTGTACAAAAAGCAATCAAGATAAGGGATCTTTATATATGACATGCTCAGATATAGAAAGGATTAGAAAACATTCTGATATTTCATGAAGCTATACTGTTATTTTATGATGAATACAATAAGTATATATATATTTAAGATATTTTGAGGTCCATATTGGGTCTTTTTTGGGTTTTTTTTAGACTAGATTATATTTTTCATTACACTTGAAAATCTCAATGGCAAAGCTTGTCAGAGAGGTTCCCTAAATCATGCAGCCCTGCTCTGTTCTGGTGGCACAGTGATCGTGTGGGTGCTTGGTGATCTCTCTGGTGATTTCTGGTGATCTGTCTAGTGATCTCCTGGTGATTTCTGGTCCTTTAAGCTTGTCTTTTCTCTCGCCCTCCTTTGCTTCTGTTGTCCGTGGCCTCTTCCCTCTACAGGAAGAAGAAGTGGAGGAGTCTGGGGTAAGTCTGCTCTCTCTTTGCCTGCTCCCGCCTCTACAATCATACCATCATATATTTCCACTTATAATCAAGCAGATCTGAGGCCAAAAGTCAAAATGGAACATCCCTTAAAATGAACGACCTGGACAATTTTTCCCCTCATTTATGTGATTGAGTTCAACAGAGAATCATCAGTGTCTGCTTCATTAAAACAGTGGAAATGTCTGTTTGGAAGCCTGTTCTTTGTGTGCTCCTCTTTCCTGCTACTTAAGTTTGGGCATGAACTAAACGCTGACGTTGTTTGCCGTGTTATTAACACAAAAAGTCACTCCGGCCTTGAGTTTGGAGGTCCACATTTGTCCACCAGACTTTGCTTCTCCCAAAGTGATCTTTTACATACAGTACATTCTTGTGGAACTATTCGCATGCATAGTTCAGACGTATTATGAAAACTATTATCTTTATTCAGCCTTCAAAGTGCCAGAATATCAGGGCTTTGTCTTCTGCTCATACTTTGCATTCTTGTGGCTGTTGGAGTTCACTTAATCAGAGACATGTGGAATCAACACTTAGAAGCAAAACACTGCGGTTCATGGCGTAATGGGACCTACTTTCATACGAATTGATAAACGACTTCTTCAATATAAAATGGACATGCAATTGCACCCAAACTTTTAAATAGACAGTGTGTAATATAGGTTTTATTTTAACCTACATCTTTCATTATGTCCCCAGTTATTAGGAAAATATCTGCGTATCATATTTGATCTGCATAACTAATCATATGGACATGATGTCGATAATATTTATGGTCAAAAGTTTCAAGCAGATAATCCAATCAGAGGGCAGAATGAGAGACGCAAGTTTGTTAGGTGAAATTTTGCTGGGTTTGGCTGGGTTTTTAAATGCACAAACAAAAAACTTGCAGCACACATTTGTTCAAAGGAAACCAGATGCATAAATAAGTAGTCTTATATAACAAAGTCATACAGGTTTGCACTGTTTTTCTTATAATTACTTTATTGGGCCACTTTAAGACTACATGTTACTGTCCCTGTAAATGTATAGGAGGAGAGAGAAGGATAACTGACCTAGTCCAATTTAATTGTATTGATCTAAAGTCATGTAACCCCAGGCATGCAGTCTTATTTCCCAATGGTGTTAGCACAAATGGTCTGATTATGAATATAAAAATACAAATGCATATATTTGATAGATTTTTACCAGCCAACGAGGTGAATACATCAGAGTCGTCTATTCCTTCTGCAATCTATGAACAACACAAGACACATTTGAGTGCACTGGAAAAACCCATGCTAATATTTTGATATGTACGTTATTGGACTTCTATAGGCGACTCACCCATTTTACTGAAGTGCGCTGATGCGATGACTAAAACACTGTCAAACTGTTGTACTCAAATCTCTGCTCTACACAAACAAACGTAAAAGAATGACTACATCTCTTAACCCCGTGTCTCTCTCCGCTCAAATACATTACAGTGAATGACTCTTCTCTCTGTAAACATGACTCAGCCAAAGTGTAGTCGCGTTTACTATCACCAGAGATGACTCAGACCACAACAATGCAAACTATGAGCTCCTGTTTGAAGCCCCCCTCTGCCCCTGCTGCTGCTGCTGCTGCTGCTGCTGTGTGTGGAATGCTGGGAATGTTCTGGCCTGGGTCTCTGCATGTATAAAACTCCACCTGGACTCGTCTGTAAAGGCCCTGGCAGCACACATGGTTTTTTATGAGCTTTTTATCATCCACGTTTGGCTGTAAATTAACTACAAAGACAACAGTAGCAGCAGCCAGTGTGTATGTATGTTAGAGCTGTAATCTCATAGTAATCTCAGTAAGTAATCTCATAACTAGAGATTACATTTCAGACAGCACTGTATTATTATTATTATGATTCATCTATTTATTTATTTGTCGTGACCAGGGCCTGTCGCAACTCAACTCAGTCTACAGTCTGATAACCTCTGTTCTCTGGTGGCCTTCAGGTCTCTGAGCCAGGGCAGTGCAAACTCCACGGTCCTGGATGTGAGCCAGTCCGGGGGCCACAAGAAGAGGGTCCGGAGAAGCTCTTTCCTCAACGCTAAGAAGCTGTACGAGGACGCTCAGATGGCCCGCAAAGTCAAGCAGTACCTGTCCAATCTGAGCCTGGAGACCAACGAGGAGAGCCTGCAGACGCTGTCCATGCAGTGCGAGCCCTCCATCAACACATGTGAGATCACACGCCTCATGCAGGGGGGCCGGAGTGGGACCAGTTTGACATGGGAGCGTCCTGACAGAAAGGGCGGGGCCTGTTGTTACAGCTAAAAACCACTCCAGATCAATCAATGTATTTCTATAGCACAGTTCATACAGAATACAATCCAAAGTGCTTCATATTGACAACATTTAAAAGCAACCGTCAAAATTTAAAAACACTGTAAAACATAAAAAAACAGTATAGAACTACACTGCATGATCCTCTGACTGATGATGCTCATAAGATAAGATGTGCTTTATTTATCTCACAGAGGAGAAATTCATTCATTGCAAATTTCTCTATTGTGAGATCAATAAAGTTTATTGTCTTATTTTCATTGGCTAAAAAGAACCATTTTCAGACTAGACTTGACTATAGCTCGGGTAGCGGCCTGTTTCCAGACCTGCGTTGGTCTGGAATCCTGCCCCCATGTTTAGTCTTGACTCTGGGCAAGGCCAATCCCTGAGCTCGTCATATTCCGAGTTGGCTCTTATGGCACCAACATGTCGCATGTGTATTTTGGTGCGAGGCCATGGAGAGACTTGTATTCTCCGAGCCATAGGAGGCCAGTGCAGAGACCTGATTTTGACGTAGTAGGTCAAAGAAGATGATTTTGCATGGGGCAATAGAAATTATTCAGGCTGATAACCGTTTTTTGTCAGATATTTGTAAATAAATTGAGCTACTCCAAACTAATTTCATAATCACTGACTGATATTGGTGCTTTTGGCCAATACCAATATTGTGTTAGTACACAGTGTGAGTATCTGCAGCCCTAGTATTCTGTATACTTGTGATATTAGCACTAAGTTTAAAATGGAACATGGTTACAGGGCACATGTGAAACGTACTTGGGGCCCCTATTTACAGCGTGATTCATGAATGCTTGAATCATTAGTCAGTTCCTCATTTCCTCTATCGGGTTCACACACTTTTGAACTCTCGCATACTTGACTGGAAGAGCCGTGTGAGTCACTATCTGCCTCTTTGGACCGAGAGCTGCAGCAGAAGCCAACTTCAGAGTATGAACGAGCTGCTCTATGTTGTGCTCTAGACAAACAAACAAGTCTTACAGAGGAACACAGCTGGGTTTAAACATTTACTTCCACTTTGAACATCACATACCCCAGCTTTATTATATCTATAGAGTACCCTAAATGCCTTTAAAACTTTTCAAATAATCATTGCTGTTGATTGATTTTAAGAATCGGAGGACTTTCTTAAGTTGTGGATTTGCGAACAGCAGATCAGAGACTATTTGTACTCAGGAAATTCACTATTAGCAGCCATTGGTTCATAAGGTAAATGTTAATGAATGACCCCCCCTTGCATCAACAAGGAACAACAAACGAACAAAAACAAAAAGAAATCTCCATGAGGCCCATATTGAGACAATAGATCCCAGAATGTAGATCCAGGACTGAGGTCGTCCTGTGATAACCATTCAGTTATTAGCAGAGTTTGGACACACATAGCCTGTAGTATGGACTCTAACCACGCCCCTCTTACCTCATCTTTACCCCCTCTGCCCCCCCTTTTACCTCCCCAGTGCCTAAGAACGCCGGAGGGAAGCGGCCGGACACGTCTCCAGTGGTGTCTCGCGCGGCCAGCACTCAGAGAGGACAGCTGGCCAAGGGGAACCAGCCTCTGCTGGTCCCATCTGTGGCCCTCCACCCCTCCAGGAAGAAGGTCCCAGTGAAGGACCTGCCGCCTTTTGGTAACATGCATCAATATTTATATCTGACTAATAACTGCACTATTGTGGTCGCTATTGTGGCCCTTAGACATGCAAATATATGGGAGAAGAGAAGAGACTCAATTAACTGAATTGAGCAACGCTGCTGTCTAGTTAATTCAATTAAATTAATTTGTGTATAGCCCTAAACCACAGCCGATCACAGAGGACTTTACAAAGATGTCGATTCGCCAACACAGATGTATTGGTCTATGTGTTTATAAAAAACACATAGAGCCATTGGTCCATAAGGGGCAGATGATCAACATTTCAAGCTTATGTGAGATATTTGCAAAAACTAATTTTGAGGCTCAACTTTTGTTTGGTCTGAGGATATGTGATATTGAAAATAAGTTTTTAGTTAGACGGGCCTCTTTAGTTTACCAGACTTGTCCATGGCTGACAACATTTAACTGTAGTTGAGCTCTAAAATGGTATATTCATATTGATAGAACTGAAGTTTGCCATATATGGAATTTTGGCACAAATGGCACAAAAAGGTCTGTCTATACAAATTAAGTAAACTCTTTGATTCCAGAGCTTCTGAGCTTTACAAAGAAGAATAAAATGCCAATATTAACCATTAACCATTTTCTTTTTGACCTCATGCTTATTTGATCAGAATCAGAATCATTTTTATTGCCATGTAAGTAACAGGAAGTCACAGACTAGGAAATTGCTTTGGCTCAGTGCAACAGTCAGAAAAGAGATGTACAGAATAGAGTTAGGCATAATAAAAATCAGCATAAATCAATCACAATTACAATATACAAGTGCGCACAATATAGTGTACTCATTCAAAAATATATAATGTTTAATTGTTTTTCACTTTGGACACAAGATCCTATTCTGTTCAAGATATTTTCAGCTAAAGTTAATCTAAATCCTTATTGTCAACTACTCTTGTTGTTTCTACAGCAGCATCAATCCTGTTCATGTCTTATCAAACAGCACCCCCTTGTGGTCTTCCTGCTGTACTGACGGCCAGGTCCCTCCCTGTGCCAAAACCAACCAGAGATGAAAAACTGTCATATTGGAAACGTTTTATTGGACTGATCTATTAATATTGCAGATAGATTTAGGTTATTGTTACACAAAAACAATAAACAACCAATTATTATTAACATAATTCAATCTGTTCTCAAATGTAATTAGAAGTGAAGTTAGTTCAATTATTTATTGAATTCACATTAAACAGCAGCCTTCAAATACATCTCTTCTTGATATTTGGTCAGTTGTGATTGGGTATAATTTTGTAGTGCGTTTAGATTCAAACTCAAACAAAAAATATGCAAAACAAAACAAAAGCGTTCATACCACTCTTTTACTTCTGTCCCCAATCAGCTCTTATGTTTTTTAATTTGGCACACGACCAAAATAAGTTTGACACCCCTGTTCTAACTGCAATGCCCAATTTGCAAGTCACAAAACGAGCAGACTTAATGCAGAATATTGACTACAGTAGGATCAGAAAGACTGTGGTTCTAATGTGGTTATCGCCCTCTTCCCAGGCACCAGTTCTCCTCAGTCTCTGAAGAAGATCCTGTCTCTGTCGGAGGAGAGCGGTCAGCGGAAGCAGCCGGAAGACACGCTCTCCACAGCCTCGTCACAGCTCTCCTCACCCCCCACCTCCCCCCAGAGCTCGCCCAAGAAGGGTAAGACCAAACCCCACCTGCCTGCCTTGTTTAGTGCTCAGGCTGTGGTCTCTGGTCTCTCTCTGGTCACTCTCTCTGGTCTTTTCTCTCTGGTCCCTCTCAGCTCTCCTCTCGCTGGTTTCACTCTGGTCTCTCTGTGGTCTCTCTCTCTCTCTGGGCTCCTCTCTCTAGTCTCACTCTGGTCTCTTTTCTTTGGTTACAATCTGGTCTCACTCTGGTCTCTCTCTGATCTCTCTCTGATCTCTCTCTGGTCTCTCTCTGGTCGCTCTCTGGTCTCTCTCTGGTCTCACGCTGGTCTCTTTCTGGTCACCTCTCTCTAGTCTTTTCTCTGGTCTCTCCCTGGTAGTAGGCTTTGGCTGCCCTCTGCTGGTGTGTGTGTATTGCAACAGTGCTGTGAACTGGAGTCAGGATCACACTTCTCCCTCTGATAAAAGTGTGTTTCTGTGATTCAGTGGACTTCTTGATGCATATGACTTTGTGCTATAATTATTTTGTTGTTGTAGAACTGCTTCTCACAGCTCCAGCTTCTCAAAATAAATAAACAATCCACCGACTGCTAACTTGATCTGCAGAAAGCTAATTTCTCAGGGGAAAAAATCTATTTAGTTGTGTGTATAAGAATCATATGTCATATCTAAATCCTTTGGGCAGCTCTTTGCAACATGGTTAGTGGGCTACTGGTAGAGACCATAGGAGACTCCTGCTTTAGAAGAATACGGTTATTTGGTCTTTCTACTTTTCTATTACCTTGACATTTTTCAACGGTAGCAAGTAGACTGTCAAAACATGTCAAGGTAATAACATCGCTATCTTACAATTGTCTGGTGTAGAAGAACCAAATAATTTTATGGCTATGTTTCCCTCCTCCATCCTGATATGGCATGATGTTGAGGCCCGTACCTGTGTATCAGTCCCAGTCCCTGTGTATCTGCCCCCGTCCCTGTGTATCTGTCCCCGTCCCTGTGTGCACCTAGAGGCCCCTTGAAGCCTGTTTGTCACGTGTTTGCCTTAATCACAGGGCTGCTGACTTTAGCGTTCCACAGAGCCAGGATTATGAGTTCCCCCTTTACGCCGCAGGTAAAGCCACAGTTTGGTGGACAGTAGCCGCTAATAGACCCTAGAGCACCAGAGCACCAGAGCACCAGTAGCGTTTTATGGTTTTAAATGTCGGCAGTGGTGATGTCGCATGTGGCTTGTTGCTCTTGGCCCAGTATCCCGGTGGTGTGGTGCTGTCCTCCGCTGTCTGCTGACCCCTGTGTCTCTCTCTGTTCTGGATACATGTGATCAAGATAAATGTGCTGCTAGTTGCAATGTCATGGCAAGAAAATATGATTGATCTTCTTTTACACTGCAAAAGGTGATGAAAAATAAGTTTAAAATAGGTCAACATTTTTTTTAATGTTAGAACTTTTTGACTGCTTTAGAACACGATTTGTCAATAGGACAAAAAATGATCTTGTTTTTTATAAGATACAAGAAATGTCCCCCTTGGAATGAGATAAAACGGCTTCGTCCCACTGGGAAATCAGAATCGGGGAAAAGTCAGAAAATGCTCAAATTAAGATTAAAAACCACTCGATTCAAGCAATTATTACCTCACATTTTAGCATTTTTTGCAGTGTAGAAAAAACTGGGAGGACAGACATAGTACACACTTTTTTTTAAAAACTCTAAATATATGTAGCCTGATTTTTGTTTTTTGCTTTTGAATTATATAAACCATAACACAAAGTATTAAATGTAAAGAATATCAATGTTTCAAAATTCAGTGTTAGAATTAGAGTGAAACATTTTTTTTTTAAAGATATTTCCACATTGTTACACTGTTTTGCAAATGAAAGGGTATTGGTGAAGACTTACATCCTCTCACGTGTTTTGCCATGAGATTAATATTTGTTATAGGCCCACATATAGTATACAGTAATAATTCAAATAGTTGCAATTATCTCTTTGTTTGAGTTGGTTCCTCAAGTGTTGGCCATGTTTAAGTCTTTATAATGAGGCTTCAATGTTTCTGTTAAGTGTTTTGATAGGGTGAGTGCAGCGTTAGGGAAAAGGTTTGTCTAAAATGAGTGAAGTAGTATAATCACAGGATGACCTCAGCATTTACTCGGGCTGATGTAAAGCCACTTTGGTTCTGAACAGCTGTAGACTCTGTAGATTCTGTAGAGGTGTAGCATGCTAAGAGGTGGTTTGATCTGTGCGCAGGCTACGGTCGGATGGGAGACGCGTACTCCGACTCGGGCCACTCTGAGATCTCGTCACGCTCCTCTCTGGTCAGTAACTGCTCCTTCGACATGGCCCCGGAGGACCGAAGGCTGCGGCACTTCACCGACGCTCAGCTGGGGGCGCGGCTGGAGCGACGGGCCGCCACTGAGCCCGACCAGTGCAGCATTGGGTAAGAGCGGCCTGCGTACTGGATTCTTTTTATTTACATGTTAGCTTTCTGAAATGAAGCAACATTTTTGACCCCTCGATAGTTCCAAGTACCCCTTACTGCCTGCTGGACCTGTTGTAGAAAAGAGGACTCTAATGGTACTGTACCTGTGCTCTCCCAGGTCTTACTCTGTCTGCTGAAGCTTGAATCCATCGGTCTCTGCTCTCTCCCTGGTCTTGCTCGTTTAAAGCCGGTCTCTTACAGTTGCTGTGCCTCCCCAGGTCTTACTCGTCGATGCAGGACTGCCGGGGCGTGTACTCGGGCTGTCCCACGTCCCTCTCGCTCTCCTCCCCCAGCGCAGAGGAGCTGACCCAGGACCAGGGCGACCGTGTGTCTCTGGACGCCGCAGACAGCGGGCGAGGCTCCTGGACCTCCTGCTCCTCCGGCTCTCATGACAACATCCAGACCATGCAGCAGGGACGCAGCTGGGAGACGCTGGCCTTCGGAGGGGGAGGAGTACCCGAGTCTCTGCTGGGGGGTCCGGCAGCTCTGTGGGCAGCTCAGGCGCGGGGCAGCTGGGCCTCCGCCAGCTCCACGTCATCCGCAGCCTACTGGGGCGAGGAATCCGAGGGCGACACAGGTACTATCAAGCGCAGAGGCGGGAAAGACGTGAATGCGGATCCAGAGACCAGCAGCATCACCTCCACCGGATCAGAGGAGGCCAAGCTCATGGGACGCCCAAGCCCCTCACCCATCACCGCCGGGGGCAAAGGCCTGCTCTGTGAGTGCTCACTGTACAAACAAGACAGATTATCCAGTACTTTGCAAAGATTTTTTATTATATAAATGCGTCATAACTGCCTTATTTCAAGCATCCCAACTGGCAGAATGTGCAAACAAACAGACATTATTTGTCTGGTACAAAAGCCGCAGAGTAACAAGTCTATATAGAAATTAAAATTAATGTCATATTGTTTGTTTAACCGCACACAGGTCCAGGATCAAAAATACAAAATATGGAAGTCTTTCCAATTTGGTTTCAAAAGTCTGTACTTTATGTCCTCCCTCAAGATAAGCGGAAGTATAAAAAACTGTAACTTCTTTGTGGCAGTTTAATCTGGAATGCTGAAGGGTTTAGGATTAGTGGGTTGTAGACTCAAAAATCAGAAGCAATGTAATAAATTGTGTAATTCAATGTATTCAAACACAAGAAATGCAATGATAAAAAGCACACCGAGTTATTGGTTCATAAGGGGCAGAGACCAATGTCTACAAATGTTGTTGAATGTCGAGTGTCCTGGATCACCACTGTCCTTAGACCTTCCTGCTTCAACAGTATGTTAGCTAATATGTTAGCATGTTGCTAGGCGACTGTGACAGCTGAACTTGCTTTAGGCTTTGAAAGTTGTGAAAACTCGTCCTTAAGTCATGGCAGTGATCAGGACGTAGAAAGGCTGGAGAAATGAGCCACTTCTGTGTTTGACCCATTTTCAATTATCGTATCCAGACAAATTTTCATTCTCACTCTTCCCTCGTGTCTCGTCCGCAGCTCGTAAGGAGAGCCGATACCGCGAGCCTCCCCCCACTCCACCCGGCTACACGGCCCTCACCATCTCCGACCTGGCCGACGGTCAGCAGCAGCAGCAGCAGCAGGGCCAGGCCTCCCCTCAGACCTCCTCCCCCTGCTCCACCACCGCCCCCACCAGCCGCAGACCCCCAGACTACACCACGGCCCTGCAGCGGTCCCGCATGGTCACCCAGTCTCCAGACCAGCAGGGGGCCAAGCACAGGCGGACCCCCGAGTCACCCGACCCAGAGGAGGCCCAGGGTGAGTCCACGCCCCCCCGATCAGTGTCGCTGCGGAGGGCAAAACCAGTGACCAGATTCAGGCAGGAGACCCCCAAGAGCCAGAGCCAGAGCAGGCAGGGCCCCTCTCCCCCACACAGGTAACCACTGCCCCATGAGCAGCCCTTACCCCCCCTGCATGGGACCACCGGGGACACAGCACTGGTGAACTGTGGGAGCTGTGAGTGGCACATTTGAACTTTTAACCAGGTTGGAGAGTTGTTTTTAGCTCCGTCCATGCTGATATCACAAACTTGTTCTGTCTAAAAGCTTTTTTCAGACTTGTTCTCCAGACAAATGACCTTTAAACCTTTTTTTGTGTTAAATTAGACTGTGCTTTGCAATATTTAAATCTAAATCGTTAAACTCGTTATACACATTTAACCATGAGGCCATTGACACAGTATGAGTTTGAAACGGCAGCTTTTAGACAGAAGGGATGGGGGGATGTTTGTGCCAAAGGTTCCTGATATGTGTGTGGATGGAGATAAAAACAACTGGTCTGAAAAAAAAAAAAAAAACAATGTTGTATTTTGTTCGAACAACTTAAAAATGACATTGCTGAGTTTCATTATTTGAGATTGACGTACATAGTATTCAATTTCAAATGAATGTTGATTGGTGCACTCTGATTGGACAATGACAAATGTAGACTTCAGTGCCACTTGCATGCTTCTGATCCACACCTGTCGTGGGACGTCCTGTCTCTGTCACCCCCTGCACTGCTCACTCCGGGACACTTGCACTTGTTTTTCTCTTGTTTACCTTCAGGCAGAGAGCAGGAACCACCGCAAAGGTAACAAAGTCAGGGTCCGTGCACCTGTGCAGTCCCCTCCTGGGTCCGTGCACCTGTGTTAAATTAGACTGTGCTGTGCAATATTTCGATCTAAATCTAGCAGGATGTCATTTCCAACTTCTACCACAATCATCTTACTCATACACATTTAACCATGAGGCGATTGACGTATTATAAGTTTGAAATAGCAGCTTTTAGACAGAAGGGATGGGCGGATGTTTGCCAAAGGTTCCTGACATTTGTGTGGGTGGAGACTTCACATGTGCTAATGAGTCATGACCATCCTTTAATAGATAAAATAAGATAATAGATAAGATAAGATAAAATAAGATTAGATATTCCTTTATTTATCCCACAGTGGGGAAATGTCAGTGGCATCGTTGCTCACATTTCAGAGAAAGAAGGAAATAAGAGCACTCAGATTGCACACATCAAATGGAGTCTATTATTTAAGATAACAGACCATATCATTAAAATAAGATAATAAGATGTTAAAATAGAATATAATAAAATAAACTCTGGAGCTTTAATTGCACTTGGTTTAGAAGTATTTACAGTTATGTGTTCTATAATAAAACTCTTAAAACCAGCAGGTTAAAGAGGCAGTCTTTTTCCAGATGCCTTTTTTCAAATATTGTGGTAGAAACGTCCCTAAACCCTAAAAGTAGTGAAATAATCATGTGTTTTCAAATAGTAATGGAATTGACCAGATGCCTGTAGTCTTCAAAAATTAATACAAATATTTTGGAGCGGACCGATAAAAATAAACCAATGGGATGCATTTACCCCCTTCACCCTCTTCCTGTTTCTCGCGAGTGTGTGTACCTGAGTTATCGGATTATTTTCTCAAACCTTATATTGCTGAACCGAAAATGCCAACTTCACGTTTGCCACCCACTCTCCCTGTTGTGACAAAGACAAGGAAATGCTGGATGTTTGGTTTGGTGGAGAGGCAGGGGGAGGGGGAGGGGAGGAGTGGTTTCCAGTTTGGTGCTACGGCTAAGCTAGCAACATCGCTAACTGCACCTTTAAATCTCTAAATACCTCTTTATGTTTTTGTCCCACAGACGATGAGCAGGTGTCGGCCGTCTGAAGTCTGCGGTGGTCGTACTCTCAGTCACTCTGAAGCTGAGGGGGCGGGGTCAGAGCACAGAGACGGACGGACGGACCGACCAATCAGAGGATCAGCGGCTCGTCCTCCTCCCGCCTTAACGCCACGCGCAGGGGCCCGCCACCCGCAAACATACTGTGAACTACAAGGTTGAAAAGACTACGAAACTATGCCTGGCACTTTGGGGATGAATAAAACTGTCGTTTGGCGGAGGAATCCTGGAACTCTGTTTTAGAAGAAAAGAAAATGGGACTTTGCAACACATTTTGATCTGCACTTTTTTACAGAACAAAATAGACTTTAAAAAAAAAAAAATACAGACCCGGAGCTTTTTTGTTGTTGTTCAATTTCTTGCACTCTGGGAAGGACTGAAAAAAATAACAAGAGGTTGTGATCCAGTATTATTCCGTTTTTACATTGAGAAGTTGTGGACGGTTTGGAGGCTGCGGTTTGGAGCCGACATGCACAATTCATTACACATCAGAATATATATCAATGTTTCAAATCGCACTTTTAGCACAATGTGACCCATGTTTGAAGAAGTGGGCGTGTCCGGTAACCAAGACAACTGGGCTTTGCTGTTACATCCAAAGCATCTACTGGATAAGCACACACACAGGAATTATCCAAGAAAAAGAATTTAGCAAAGATTATGAAATGCCTGACTTGCCCAAATCATGATGTCAGTGAGATAGATAAATGTTGAATATATGATCCTTTTTTTTAATCGACGGCGAGAACTGTTTGAACTGTTGCCTCTAGTCTCCTCGGGACAGACTGAATGCTGATATCATTTCAAAATGTCTCTAACACAGTGTTGTGCCCATCTTCCAAACCATCGGCCCCAGAGAACGTGTGACATGCTTCTCTTATGAATGTCCAAAGCGCCTTACCATTTTAGGATTGCAAACGTCTTTTGTATTCATGTCCCTGATAACCGTGGGAGAAACTGTCTGAAGGATTTTAGATTGAGATGCCTTATTAAATAAACTCCCCTGATGTTACCGTGTTGAATGTCCCCTGCTCTGCTCACGCTCCACGGAATAAAAGCAAATAACAACATCACATGTGAACATATTACTACAGCACGAGGAGCATGAGGAATGACGTCTGCCCCTCTCCCCGGGGACAGGGCTCATCAGGACCCACATGGTGGTATCCTTGACAACAGGACTTGGTCCTTAGTAGCAGAGCAGAGCAGGGGCCGGTCGGCCTGGGTACAGGTGTTCTCTTTGAAGCATGTCCCGTCACGGACAGCCCTGTGGCCTGCACCACACCAGGCTCATACTGGGATAACCACCCCCTACCCCTGGCTCATACTGGGATAACCACCCCCTACCCCTGGCTCATACTGGGATAACCACCCCCTACACCTGGCTCATACTGGGATAACCACCCCCTACCCCTGGCTCATACTGGGATAACCACCCCCTACCCCTGGCTCATTCTTGGATAACCACCCCCTACACCTGGCTCATACTGGGATAACCACCCCCCTACCCTGGGTCATACTGGGATAACCACCCCCTTCCCCTGGCTCATTCTTGGATAACCACCCCCTACCCCAGGCTCATACTGGGATAACCACCCCCTACCCCTGGGTCCTTCTGGGCTAACCACCCCCTACCCTTGGGTCATTCAGAAATAACCACCCCCTACCCCTGGGTCATACTGGGATAACCACCCCCTACCCCTGGGTCATACTGGGATAACCACCCCCTACCCCTGGGTCCTTTTGGGATAACCACCCCCTACCCCTGGGTCATACTGGGATAACCACCCCCTACCCCTGGGTCCTTCTGGGCTAACCACCCCCTACCCCTGGGTCATACTGGGATAACCACCCCCTACCCCTGGATCCTTTTGGGATTACCACCCCCTACCCTGGGTCCTTCTGGGCTAACCACCCCCTACCCCTGGATCCTTCTGGGATAACCACCCCCTACCCCTGGGTCATTCAGAGATAACCACCCTCTACCCTGGGTCCTTCTGGGATAATCAACCCCTACCCCTGGGTCCTTCTGGGATAACCACCCACTACTTTAGGGTCCTTCTGGGATAACCACCCCCTACCCCTGGGTCTTTCTGGGATTTCCACCCCCTACCCATGGGTCATACTAGGATTGCCCTAAACCTACGCCAGGGTCAAACTGGGATAACCCAAACCCTACCCTGTGGGTCATATCATGTGCGGGGGACTCTGGTGGACATGAAGAGCAGACTGCCAATCACACACTGTCGCTGAGGCCTGATCACATTGATCGGTCCGAGACTGAAGCAGTGAGAGTGACCACTCTCTTTGTTTTTTTATTGTACTTTTTGTAATGGCTGCAGATGGATTGTTCATATGTTTGTACTACAGTGGTGACATGCATCATTCACTTTGATTTGACTCTAAAGATAATGTGCTTATTAGCGACCCAGTCCTTTGGAAACTGTTGCACAAATGTTTGGATCCGTGTAGTGGTAGAGCTGCTACTGTGGTGTGCCGTCAGTGACAAGTGTACATTAGCTGGTGACCTATTCTTTTCTTCTACTGCTTCGGCCTGTATGTCTTTTAAAAAGACAATGGTGGAGTACGTATCAGTTGTTTTTTTGTATTTTTAATACAATAATTGTAAATATTGGTTATATTTTTGTTCAAATGTAATATGTTTATGCCTCAACATCCAGTTTATATGAAGCTGGGAACCAATAAAAGCTGCGTAAAGAAGCCAGTCCTGGTGCGTTCTTTCCTCTCGCCTCCTCACACTCAGACCACTCAGACTTCATAAAAGATATATTGAAGTTTGCTCTAGCTTTCATTTTATTTATTTGTACAAAGCTCGCTCTATCCCAGAACTCTCTTCTTTCATTTGAGATGTTATTACTCTTTTATTATATCTGGATGTGGACAGCATTCATTACTTTATCATGTAATACGTTCCATTTGACCAACGTCCGCAGAGACGGAGCTGCTTAAAGACGTCTCCAAAATCACAGCTTCAGTTTAATGCAGACGTGAGACGTTTGCGGCTCACAGCTTCTTAGCGTCTTTCTCCCCTCCTGCTCTTTGTATCGTTAGCTTTAGCACCGGCAGAAACAAGATTGAGCCAAGATTAATGGTTTTGTGTTAATAATGAATGCAAATCCATAAATGATGTGAACGTTCTTTCAGGATCAAACGTGTAAACTGCTCTGTTTCCAACATAGAGACATTGTTGAACTATAATTGCTCTTCAATATGACTTTTTAAATACATTCAGCACAAAGTGACTCCATGGAACACTTGACGTAGTAATAATAATAATAATAATACATTTTATTTCTTTGTCGTCTTACTAGACACTGGAGGTTGCCTCACATACAAGTACATTTAAAAACAGTTAAAGGAGCAATATGTAAAAATCTGGCCAAAAGTGGTACTGCAGTCACAGTCAATATTTTGTAGTCCTCTCCCACTCTCCCTGACTCAGGTTGCCAGATTCACACCAAATCCAGCAGCAAACACAGGGAATTATTTTATCAGTTGTTTGTCCGTCTCCATTCACATGCCATGACAGCCGTGCTAATGCTGAATGAATGTTTTGATTCATGTTTTTTTATTATTATAATTTGGACATTTGAGATAAAAAACAAAAACAAAATAAAAGCAATGTAATTATACATAGTTTATGCAAAATAAATAAGAAATTGATGTCCAAAATAGGAGTGGGAAGAATGGATGTTGGAACGTATTTCTTCAGCGTATCAACATCAGGGTTTGCTCAAGAGGATATCACCTTTCAATTTTATTTATTCCCTATTTTTTAGACAAACATGTAAAAGTCCCACATCAAAAAGAGACTAACATTATTTTAATGGGGTACATGTGGTCTTAAATGATTATTTTTACAATTAAGCTATAATCTGCAAAAAAACGTCTTGACCTTCATCTTTTACCGTTTTTAGAGCAATCTGTCATAGAATGTGATAACATGCAATAAATACAAAAAGACATAGCCCGGGATCGAACCCGGGTTCCTGCATCGCAAGCGCGCAGCTTAGACCGCTAGGCCACCGATTCACACGAACAGAGACACCGTGAAGAACGGAGTCAAACTAGAAAATTCTGCATCACACGTAAACTTTTATCAGCTGTCTCAATTGTTCAAAGGCATCCCGATATAAATCCTCGTTTTAGTCTTTGTTTTGTCATTAATTATTTGAGAGTCATAACAAGACCTTTTTTAGTTCTACGCCACATGTTATTTTACCTCTGAGATTAATGAGCCGCGCGGAGTTCTGGCAACCAGATCACGGACTTACATGACACTTCCTGATTGGCGAAACGGCGGAGGGTAGGACATCAAAATCAAAACAATAACAACTTTTACGGGTCGTAAAACTAATTTTGATGATCAAATATCTCGGCTGAACTACTGTTATCAGTTAAAGATGAATTCGAAAAGAGTATGATTTAATAACGCCTTTTGAAATATTCGGGTCATTTAATGATGACTTGACATGCAAATATTACATATTGCTCCTTTAAAGTACAAAGTAGAGGCAGTTGTACTTGCACCACAGTTTGAGCAGCACCAGAGCACTCCCATTGTTTTCTAATACGTGCTGTTGCCACTAGAGGGCGTGGTTAAATGTGTGACAGTTTGTAACGGTCTATTGAAGTCATTACAATCACATTTTTGCTGCCCTAATCTTCCTGTCTGTGACACAAACACATTACTGATGCAATCCACCTGCTGGGGTTTAACTAGAAACTGTACAAACTCTTACTATTACAAATGACTTACTGTTGTATTTTCTTCCATACATTTTGTAATTAAGATTAAAAATAATAGTCAGTCAGATAAATTGCAACAGCTAAAACTGGCAACCCAAATGAGGGCCTCATAATAAGCTTGAAAACAATAGTGACCAATATTATGCGCATGTTATTTTTAATTGAGAATAACTTTAAACGGTATGCGACAGAGCATGAGGCTCATCGGACGCTATGAGATGGAACACTTAGCAAAACAGCACTTTATGAATATGTGTGTTGTCTTTAAGAACAGATTTAACCACGTTTTCACACAGTTCCTTTGTCACAAACAGAGCTTTTAAAGAGGAATATTCTCTATTTTTTTTTATTCAGTTTTTGTTTGAATGTTTTTTCTTCTATGTTTTCTAAATTAGTTTTGGAAATTCACCTTTCTCTGGACTCTTCAAATCTGGAGATGTAATATTGTACAGACAGCCCCTTTTTCCATTTAGGAGTCCCCAGATAACGGCTCACATTTGTACAGTGGGGAAAAGAACTCAAATTTTTTTGTTTTTTGCAGACTCAATGAGATTAAAGTCATAATATTTGACTTTATCTCAAAATATTATGAGAAAAAAAACTTTCTCTACTTTTTTTTTTTTATAATTAAAATTTTTATTGACTCGATCAGCAGTTCTTACATTAACAATCTACACGATGTTACATACATGGTACATTAGAATTAGTACATTTGTTAACACTTTTTTTTTTTTTTTTTTTACATAATAGAACAAAAACAAAAGAACAATTGAGTAGCAAAGGGATATCACACGTGTCCTTAAGTGTTGGTATAATGTGTCCAACATTTCCAATAGTCCTCAAATCTGTCGTGATCCAGTCTTAGTGCAAAAGTCATTCTCTCCATATGAAAAATGTCTTTAACAAGTGATATCCAGTCCCCCAACACAGGTGTTCTGTCTGTCATCCATTTCTTTGTGATAGCTTTTTTGCTTGCTGTCAGTAAAACATTCCACATATATTTTTTACTCGCCCCTTTTATACAGTCTGGTTGTATCCCCAAAAACATAGTTTCAAAATTCAAAGGAACATTAATGCCAAAAACTGTGTCAATGCCCTGTTTAATAGCCATCCAGTAATTGGTTATTTTTGAACAACTCCAGAATATGTGGTGATGGCCAGCCCGTTTGGTTCCACATAACCTCCAACATGAAGTATCAGCACTTGGGCCTCTCTGGACTGGAGTTTTAAAAAAACGTACCATACATTTCCATGAAAATTCTCTCCATACAGGGGATGATGTGCTTTTCCATACATTAACAGGGATTTTAGCCCAATTTTCCATTTGTATGGAGAGATTACCCTCTTTCTCCCATTTTTCTTTAATATACAGTATATTTTCATTCTGCAAGTTTTGCAGCTCATCATATAGTTTAGAAATCAACTTATTGTTTGGTCCTTGCTGATATGCTTTTATAAATATTGTTATTAATCCCGACAGATGCTTTGTATGGTCACTATAATTGTGGTTCAAGTAGTGGCGGATCTGGAGGTATCGGAAAAAGTCTTTGTTGTCAAGATTGTAGGTCCTTTTCAAATCTTGATAGCTCCTCATTTGATCTTTATGATAAAACTGATTGTAAGTCATTAAACCTTTGTCAGACCAATTTTTAAATGTTTTATCTCCTACATTTGGGGTAAAATCCTTGTCATACGCAATCCATTTGATCATAAGGGTGCATTTTGGATTGTCCTTTATTATTTTTGACCAGATATCAAGAGCTGCCTTGGTCCATGGGTCAAGATCCCTTACATTACTCATTAAATTTGTGTTGCCAATCATTGCCGGTACGGGGATTACTTCAGATCTATATTCAATTTCTTTCCATTTGGCTGTATATGATGAGCTGCAAATATCAAACAGTGGGCTTAGTTGAGCCGCTCTGTAATAATTCTTCAGATTTGGAAGAGAGAGTCCACCCTTGTTTCTTGCCATTTGTAGAGTTTTGTATCTTATTCTAGGTTTTTTCCCTTCCCAGATAAACCTTGAAAATAATTTATCCAGTTCCTGGAACATTGTTGTTGAAGAGTCAACAGGTATTGTTTGAAATAGGTATAATAGTTTAGGCAAGATTACCATCTTAATTGCTTCTACTCTATGTAAAAGTCCTAGATAGGGGATCAGGCTCCATCTATCCAAATCAGTTTTAATTTTAGCAATAAGTGGATCGTAGTTTATTGACTTTAAAGTTTGTATGTCCTTTGGAATATGTACTCCCAAGTATGTTATTGAGTCCATGCACCAATTGATTTTAAATATTTTCTTTATGGGATCTTCTGGGTTGTAGTTGAATGTCAATACTTGTGATTTATGAGAATTTAATCTATAGCCTGAGATGTTGCTGAATTTCATTAACACTTTATGCAGTTGAGGAAGAGATTCAGTGGGTTTAGCCAAGTAAACTAGGACATCATCAGCAAACAGGGCAATCTTCTGTTCCTTCTCGTTTACTTTAATGCCTTTTATCTTTCTATTTTGTCTGATATATTGTGCCAGGGGCTCAATAAAAATGGCAAATAAAATCGGAGATAAATGGACAGCCCTGTCTACAACCTTGTTCAATATTTAGAGGATTTGATAGACCTCCATTTATTCTAATTTTCCCTATAGGTTTGTTATATAATCCTTGTATTATTTTTATAAACTTTTCGCTTTCTCTACTTTTTGAGAATTAAATCGAAATATAATTGTATGAAACCATAGACTGTAAACATTTGCTACACTCAAAATATGATAAAGAGTCGGTGCTTTCTAAACTCCATCAAACATTGAGACGTCGTCCAGAGTTCAGACTCTGGAGCTGCGGTTTTTCTTTCATAAACTCTTAAACTGATGATTATATTTAAAAATGGTGATATTTGTTCTGAACAGTGTGTGTCGTGTCCCAGCTGCAGAAGGAGCTGAGGTTCTACAATAAAAGACTTGTTTGTGAAGTTGTGTAGAGCCTGAGGCAGATGTGGTTCTGATGAGGGCTGAAGAGGAGAGACCGGAAGAGACCGGAAGAGACCAGGAGAGACCAGAAAAGACCAGAAGAGACCAAAGAGACCAGGAGAGACCAGAGAGACCAGGAGAGACCAGAAGAGACCAGAGAGACCAGAAGAGACCAGAAGAGACCAGAAGAGACCAGAAGAGACCAGAAGAGACCAGAAGAGACCAGAGCTGGGGTGAAAACAGAGCAGTCTTGACCCATCGACCAGAGCCAACGGGACCGGTCTGTGACCAGGAGAACCTCCAATTCATCCATCGTCTGAAATTGTATTTTTTCCTTCAGTGTACATTTCTCCATCGTGAGATCAATAAAGTTCATCTTATCTCATTTGATCTCATCTGTTTCCAATCTTTCACAGTTTAGTTCTTTCAAAGTCAGAGCACACGTTGTTATTAAAGTCATATTTCTAAAACCATTTATAATTTTGATTTTAATCTAATTAAATTATAAATTTATTCTCGTGTTTTCTCAAGATTTCTCATCATATTTTTACTTTTTCTGACTTCACTCTATTTTCTTAATGTTTTCACTTTAAAGTCAGAATATGAAGAGTCTAATCTCAGTGTCTGTAAAAACAGAAATAACTTCTACCTCACAACTAATTATTGTAAAATGTAAGTAGGCAGCAGGTTACTGCAGTGAAACCTTTTTGAGCTCAACTTTTTCATTGAAAACAATCACATGCCACAGCATCAGCTGAAACTGATATAGAAATGAAACTGCAGCCTTTAAACTCATCTTCATCAAATAGAGAATAAACTCTTTATAATCTTATTTTGACCAATGTTTGAGGTGATATTGGATCGTTTCCAAAGGCACTGGTTGAAAAACACGAGGTCACAGATATTTGTGTTAACACAAGTACAAATGACAGAACTCTTTGTCGTGGTGATAAAAACACATCACAAAATACCAGTGAAATCCTAAATCTAGATACAAATCTATTTCCTTTCCTTCTAAACATTAATCGATGCTGTGTTCTGGTGCGTGCACGTGCTGATTTTGAGCAGCAGGGGGCGGCATTTCCCACCACACGGCGGGTCTGCGCCTGGTCCCGGCCTCCGGATAAGCCTGGAGCTTATCAGGAGGCTCCAGAAGTCTCTCTGCAAAGTCCAGGGCATTAGGAACCAGCCCCGCCCCTCCCCCACAGTCCACCGCTGTGTACCTGCTGCAGTGGTCAGTGATGGTCCTGCACCAGCTTTATGGACCATGAGCCACTAAGGACCATGTGGACAGATGGCAGGTGTGTGAGCTGAGAGGATAGAAAACCCATTTAAATGTAAATGTTCTGAAGATCATGTTTAAACTCAACCCACTGTCTCATATTTGTTGGTTTAAGTGAAGGAGCTGTTTATTTACTGCTTTTAATTGGAAACCGTATCGAGGCGAGGCGGGACACTGCATGCAGCAGAAATAATTAGCACATTGTGGGAAGCTGTTACCTGCCAACAACAAACATCTGCTGCACTTTGATTACAGCGAGCATAGTGAGCGCTCTCTCAAACAGGCGTGACGTAAATGCAGGTGATCTATGACTCTGGGACGGTGGGCAAAAAACAGCAAATTCAATCTATTTTAGAATTAATGACCATAGTCTCTGTCATATTATTTTGTGTAATGATGTGAGTGCAGTGAAGGATTACACAAAATATACTTCATTATTAAAACAAGGCATTATGTTCTTCAGCCAAATATAATGTATCAGTCATGGCATTAAACAAATGACCTACTGCATGTTCTGGAAACTAAAATACGATCCAAGACGATGGAGGTTCGCCTTGTTCTACTGAATAAACGTATTTATTTTCTTTATTCAATCTGGCAATAATTATTAATAATATATATTTACAACATAATAAGTGTTATATGATTAATTATTGGTAGATTGTGGCATTTATTTATTACTTTATTTATCATGTTGACAGTTTTGGTCCTCTATCACAGTGGTTCTCAAACTTTTCACACCAAGTACCACCACAAATGACCAACACCACACAGTGGCGTAATAAGCCTAAGTGTTCATCACAAACAAGGCAGAGGTTTCATTCCTAAAGAAGCTTTTGTATTTGCTGCTCCTCCTACATGGAACGTGTTGCAAAAAGACTGGAAATGATCTGACTGTATTTCATTGGATGCTTTTAGATCCAGATTGATAACACTTGAGACATCTTCAGTGAAATGTACAGTAACTGTTTTTATAATCAATCATTTTATGAAATTGTATGGGACTGTTTTATAATCTGTAATTGTATGTCATTTTTGTACAGGACTCCCTTGAAAAAGAGGTTCTCATGGACTGCCAGCCATTTTTGATGACTTCACTGATTTTCAAGACTCACAGAATATTGCGTGCTATGAAAACTATGAAAAGGAAAAGAGGGGAGTGTGACAAAAAGCACCAGTCTTAGACAAAAAGCTGAGAAAAGGAAATGTTTGTGAAAACAGACGGACCTGCAGAAAAGGGACTGTAAAACTATTTAGTTTAAGCTTGTCCTCAACAGAAGGTCAACCTTAAGGAGCAATAAGGACTAGGAAGGAGGTATTTTACAGGAGGGCCAGTCTAGTGACAGCAGCTCTAACAGTCTCTAGAGTCCAGAGAGTCTGCAGCGAGACAGTGGCCCTCAGAGGGAGCAGCTCCATCAGTATTAGGCAGCTGTCAGGGCTGCAGGCTGTATGTCACAGACCCAGCTCCATCTGAAGCCCAGAGCCCAGGCTGAGGCTGAAGCCCAGAGCCCAGGCTGAGGCTGAAGCCCAGAGCCCAAGCTGAGGCTGAGGCTGAAAAGGATAATGAGTCTCCACAATGGGGGGGAAATGACCACACGAGGCGAATTAATCTTTCACATATCACAGAATAAGGAAAGAAAATTGCAAAAGAGAGTAAGATTAGCTTTGCTGCTATTAGAGGACTGAGGGGAGAGCCATTTATAAGTGTAGTGGTACACCTGTTTTGTGAGCGCTCCTATCAGCGCTCTGGCTTGTAGTATTTAAGGACAGCCCTCTCCCGTACACTCCTGTTTTGCCTCGCCTCTGACGTCGGGACGCTGCTCGCTGGTGGCGTCCGAAGCACATGTTGCTTTAGATCCAGCCTTTACACCGGCTTTGTGACCCAGCGGGCACGCTTCTTTCAATCTGCGTCTCGGTGAGTGTTTGCGGCCGGCCTTGTGGCTTTGTTTTGGCACAATATTCAACCGCGGCACGGTGGCTGAGTGGATAGCACTCTCGCCTCTCAGCAAGAAGGTCCTGGGTTCGAATCCCGGTCGGACCAGGGCCTTTCTGAGTGGAGTTTGCATGTTCTCCCCGTGTCTGCGTAGGTTTCCTCCGGGTACTCCGGTTTCCCCTACCACTGAAAATATGTCTAATAGTTCTGGCATGTGCCTCCTGTACTGGCCCCGCTCCCATCTCTGTGTGGAGGGAGAGACTAATGCCCAAAATTAACAATTGTAAACCGCTTTGAGACTCAGATCTGCAGTGAAAAGGCGGTATATAAATAAAAACGTACTTACTTACTTACTATTTCTTTTAGATTGTCTGTGATCCCGGCACAGCCGTGGAGTGGGGACAGAGCGCGGTTATTGCGCAACCCCTCCGCAGGTGCAGCGCTCTGCTCTGTTTGGTGAGTGTTAGAGCTGGCTTTCTAACTCTTTATGTTCTGGAGTATTTATTAAAATGTAGTTTTCCTTAGAGCCGCGGGCAGGCACCCGTTACCGCATACACAGTCCACTTGTAACACCGGTAAGCATTTAAAATAAATCTAATTCTTATAGTCACTTATCAATTTAATATCTTGGTCTAGGGCTCGTGTGTGCGCGCATCTTGGGCCTCTGGCTCCTGGTGACTTATGTGCGGGCTCCTTGGAGAGCTACATGTGGGTATACTGCACTAACTTTAATGGGCTTATTATTTTAATTAATACTACATTTAATTATTTCATTCAGTTCTGAGCGAGTCTCCCCTTCTGGTACCCGGAGAAACACGACACCCGCACTGCTGCATCACGGGCCATTCAAGATCCGCGGGTACAGGCCCACACCCATCGGACTCCCCTCAGTGCGGGGCCACGGAGGCGCGTGGGTCCGATTGGAGGCGCTTAGGCCGAGAACGTGCTGGAACTCTAGGGGACTGCTGCTGCTGAGTGGAACAATGGCTTATTAGTGAGGCCAATCAATAACACTTGAGTTTACATTTTACAGTGAGAGTGGAGAGTCCGGCGTCGTGGAATGAACTACAGAAACGGTCTTTTTTAAAATTGTCAAATAAATTGTATTTTGTACTACATTGCCTCCTGTCCACATCAGTCCACGAACCTATGTGCCTTTTCCAATTTATCTTTAACGGGTCCCAGTTCCCATATACTGGGTGGCGTTGCTGGTAATATTTCTACTTAATTAGGCTAAACTTCCAAATTCATAGTCTCGACCATTACACAAGGATATAAATAAAACAAACATGTGCATGTACAGTAAGAACTACACACATTTGCGCAGTACTACTACATGTCCAAATGTGCTGAAAGTAGTGTAATCCTTGAGGCGAGGTTGGAAAAGCACTAAATCCCTTTTACTGCTCTGTCCACTGTGATTTAGTTACTTTTACCTGAATATCTGGAGGAGAGCCATTATCTGACAGAGACAATTAAAGCCTATCGCACATATATTGGCTGTTTTAAAGAAAGAAACTGTCCATTCTACACAGCTTTAGATGCTACTTACATTTCCTCTATTATAGTTAGAGACCTTTTCCATTAACAATGCGTGTAGACTTCCTATGAGACAATTAAGCCATATGTTTTACCCAGTATTAAAGAAATATTCATATTAAAAGTATTAATAAGCGAAATGCATTGCAACACGTCATCAATAAACAGCCCTCAGGCACAACTGCAGAGAAGTAAGTAAGTAAGTAGTAAGTAAGTAAGCTTTATTTATATACCGCCTTTCACAGACCAGAGTCACAAAGCGGTTTACAATTGTTATTTTTTGGGCATTTGTCTCTCGCTCCACACAGAGATGGGAGCGGGGTCGCCGAACAGGAGGCGCATGCCAGACCTATTGTACATATTTTTAGTGGTAGGGGAAACCGGAGTACCCGGAGGAAACCTACGCAGACACGGGGAGAACATGCAAACTCCACTCAGAAAGGCACTGGTCCGGCCGGGATTCGAACCCAGGACCTTCTTGCTGAGAGTTTATTTTGGCAACAGACAATACAATAAATACACAGAGACCTAAGACTTATTTTTGGCTAATCTTGACATTAGCTACTTTCTTACATTATTAGGTTTAAGAGATCCTTTTTTTGTCAGCCATAAGTTTGTACAACAGATCTGTCTGAGTTGAACATGTTACATATTTAGTGTTATGTTTGTCTCTTACATAACTTTTAAGAAGAACATACAGAAACTCCGGTGACCTCAGTAACGTCTTTACTTGACAGGTGTCATTCAAAGTACAAGATATCAGTATGCTACCCGCGTACTCGTTACATATGCGCTGTGCGTATACTCGAGAGAAAGTAGTCCCTACTGTTGTAATCAATACATAACATTTAGTTTATGTATGTACTTGTATGTGTTTGGAAGGATGTGTTTTGGCTGCTGAACACCTGAATTTCACCTATGGGGATCAATAAAGTATCTATCTGTCTATTGTTACTAGTTTTAAAGGTGCTTCATTTCAACCAATCAAAGCACTCCTCTGCTTTTCCCTATTACATTTAGCAAGCATGCTGCTACAGTGAAGTACAAAGTTAAAATGAACCTCCTCTGTTTCCGAGCAGAAGCAGAACTATAGTAACTTAAGTGAACACCAAGTGTGTGTGTCCTATCAGACTCACCTGCTGCTTTCAACTCAATTATTCTGTTTACTGTCGGAGGAAAAGTTCCAAACGTCTTCTGAACGGTGACAACACTTTCTGTTTACACTCTCAGCCGTTTCAATTTGGCTGAGGAGATGTTTTGTTCCCTATCTATGTGTGGCACAATATGGAAACGAGCAGTGGCCTTATACCGTAACAAGGTTCCACTGGGCAGATCTGCCTTTGTTATTATGACACTAACTGTTTGGGTTTATATAAAAGGAATATTCAAAATCCTTGGTTTGAGTTTTAAAGGAGCAATATGTAAAAATCTGGCCAAAAGTGGTATGCAACCTCTCCCACTTTCACGGACTCAGATATGCAGACGAATCCAGCTAATATCTAAATAGACAAGAGTTTTGTCAACAACAAAATCTATAGCCAACACCTTTTTCACAAAGTCCCCAAAAAGAAACCTGTTTAGTTCTGTGGCCACATGTTAAGCCTAGCGTACATCGACAGAGTAACTGGAGGCAACTAGTTGCAAGGCGGCTTTTGGCAACTGAGAGTAGATGATGGAGATGATCAGTTGCCGAAATTACTCGATGTGAGCGCTCTTACAACTGGAGATAAACAGTCAATCTCCGGATTCAGTCAGTTGCCCGTGTTTTACTTTTTTTGCAACTAGTTGTCCTCAGATCCGGATATATCACCCGATGTGCGCGCTTCAACAACATGTGTTAAGAGCGTTATGTGACGTATTGCGCCCTCTACAGTTTATGTCAGAAAACACACTGTAGTTGAGGCCAGTTGCTGTCGATGTACGCGCTGTTATTCCCGAGATTGGCCTGCTTCTAGGAGTTGCCCGTTTTCGCCAGATTGTCGATGTGTGCGGGGCAGCAACTCAAATGCGACGGATAAAATTAGTTGCCAGTCCGATGTACGCTAGGCATTACTTTAGCAGTGAGATTAGCTGGAAAGTTCTGGCAACCCGGATCATGGACTTTCTGATTGATAAAACGATGGACGGCGGGACATCAAAATGAAAACAAGATTTAGGGGCTGTAAAACCCATTTTGAAATTAAAATGTCCCTGAACTACTGTTATCAGTTTAAGTATTTGAAAAGAGCATGGTTCATTATCAATCAATCAATCAACTTTTATTTATATAACACAGTTAATACAGAATGCAACCCAAAGTGATTCACATTGGCAACATTCAAAACCATTTCATTAATGCTTTTTGACATATTAGGGCCATTTAAAGATGACTTGACAAGAATATCTTACATATTGGTACTTTAATTATGCTCCAACATTCTTCCAGCAGATGATGTTTATTGCTCTATCTATGCACCGTGTATCAAAGAAAAGGCCCAAACAATGAGAATGCCTCTAGGTGGCGCTGTTGCAGTCTCACTTGTGTTTTGGATATTGTTGTATTCGGGGTCATACAGTGCAGGTTTGAGCTTGTGACAGATCTATCACTGGTCCAAGTTTCTGTTTCCTCTTATGAAACCATTCCTCCAGGTCAGACAAACCGTTTCAAAATCTGACGTTTGGACGGTATGGAGTCAGAATGCATCGTTTGTGTGACTTGTGTGTGTTTGTGAAACTTCTTCACTCGACCCACATGTGCGCAACAGCTTTAAAATAGTTTGGTTTTATTGCTGTCTGAATCACAATGCTAAGTCGTTTAGAGACATTTGTTGCATTTTAGAGCACTTTCAAACAACAAAAACACACCATACACACAAACAGTTCCAGAACAATAAAGATCATTAAAATAATCTGAACTATTACATCCAGCCTCGTATAGGCTGTAGATGTGTGGCCTCGGAAGGCTACACCAGTAACCTTTCGTATTTTCATCAAGAAGTCCCGAAATAAAGTGTTCAAAGATTCTTTATTCCATTTCATGATCTGATCATCAATTCATGTGTTTCAGGAGTCAATAGATTACTTTATCTCAGCTACAGCAGTGAAAACCCTGAACAACACTGCTCTTGTATGTTTCATAAATATACAGTATACGTATGTGGCTCTTACATGTAAAATTGGATTCAAAATGCAATTCAAACTTTTTGTTTGTAAATGTTAGCGGTGCTGTTTTTAGCACTGTGGGGCTCCCATCTTGTTTTGAAGCCCAAAGACCAACAGGCGAGTAATACCCAGTCAAAGTCCACTGGTAGATTTGGAATGTTAGTTTTCTTGGCTCTAACAGTCATAAAAAACAGAATACATAGAAGAGTTTACACCCATTCATCCAGTGATTCTTAACCAGTTTTCAGAATCTGGTTAAGAATCAGTTTTCACCTGTGGGCAGCGGGACTCCGTCAGTAACTTTGAAACAAAATTATACATCATTACAAGTGTAAATTATATATCATCACAAAATTATATATCATCACAAGTGTATGATCCGGATGAGATTTGTCAAAAGGCAGATCAGGGATAATTATCGACACACAGCGCAATAAGAGCAATCCTCCGGTCGTCTTGACCAAGTCGTGCATCATTATTTGGACATAGGTCCCAATCTCCAGATATTGATGTTTTTGCTCTCAAACAGTAAGCAAATGTGTTGTTGAATATGAATGTACCATCTAGAACTTTAATAAAGGATGTATTGGGCTGAAATGTGTGTGTTTGTGTGCAATGGGAGAGGCTCCTGTTCACATGCCTCTTTTCTCACCAAAGCCTGCAGCCGTGGACTTTGTTTGCATACCAACACCGCGGCGCACACTGCAGCGGGGCCTGTCCTTCCACAGGAGTGTTCCACATGCTCGGAAGGGATTAGGCCCGCATTACCAAAGTGCTTCCCTGGAGCTGCCGAGAGTCTGCTGCCTCTGATTACCCAGGTCTGGGCCGAGCGGCGGCAGTGTGAGCCGCTGACAAGCTGTGGACGGAGCTTTTAATACAGATGCCTTCAGCATGCTATACAAGCCCCTAGTGCACCCACGCTTAGGGGCCTCACAGGCGCACAATGTCACCACCAAACACAGAACTCAGAGCGAGAGTTAGAAATACCTCAACAAGGAGAGTCAGAGGCCTGTCACAAACACGGCTGGCTCAGGAGTGGGGTATGTTTAAGCCCTGTTTAGAGCATTGTGTCCTCTGTCACGCTGTAAACACCAAATATAACAATTACATGTGGATCTATCGTTCACTGATGGCATTTCCTTGTGATGCAGGAGTGTCTAAGGACAGTGATGATGCTGGATAATCCACTGACACTGGACATTCAACAGCATTCATGGACATTGGTCGTCTGCCCTTTATGGACTGAAGGCTCTATGTGTGTGAACTGTTCGATTCTCGGATCTGTTTTGGTGAAATGACGGCTTTGTAAAGTTTCTCCAAGATAACTTCTGTTGTATAACCTTGCAAGAATACATTTAACTAACATTTTCAATTGATGGAGGGTCTGCAGTGACCCGTCCTGCTCTTTCACTCCAACTGAGAGACAATTCATACAGTCATCAGACTCACTCAAGAAAATGAGGGTGAAGTGTCTTGCCTAAAGACACAACCACAGTTTGGCGCCTTACAGCTGCAGCTGCCCCACTATGGCCCCTAATCTTCCCAAAGTCTTCCATCACAGTACTAACCAGGTCCTACCTTGCTTAGCTTCAGAGGTCTCACCAGTTACAAGGAAAGACTTCCCTCCACCACAATGTGAAACTAAAGGCTGCTGTGACATGTTGCCCTTTCATTATCTAAGCAGAAGAAAGCTTAACTTCAATTTAATAATTGATCGAGTTCATTTTTGGACAAAGCAGAAAACAGCCAAAGGCTTCAGTCAGTTCTGACGCTGTTTGACAGAAATACCCTTGAATTTGACATGTTTTTAATTATTCATTTAGTCCAGCCTGAGGACTTTTACTCCAGTGGTGAAAACAACATTAGAATCCAGTGGGTGAATGGGTTTGCGCCTCTAATGATGAAACTCCAGCCTTCAATTACAACAGTCTGTTTTTTTCAACAAATAAAACATCTCGAAATTTGAAAGAAATATGAATTCCACAAGGTTTAATTATTACCACCCAGTGCAGACTGTTGGGAGAACTTACTAGGATCATATGAAACATGGTTGTATTCTAGTTTCGAGGCACAATAGTTTGATCAATAGTAGTTGTAGAAATAAACTAATACCATACTTATGCTAAGCAGGGCAGGGCCTGGTTTATACTGTGATGGAACAACAGGCACTTCACCCATTGCTTCTGTCAATCTGCCCCAGGGCAGGTGTTGCTGCAGCTGTAGTTTACCTGTATAATGTTGTGAAGCATCTTTGAGTGTCATAAAAGGATCTGTATGATACATTCACATAAGATTAGATAAGATAGACTTTATTGATCTCACACAGGAGAAATTTACATAATTTCATGTAATATATAATTATGTCGTACATTTAATGCATTCATATATAACAATCTTTAGTTTGACCAAAAGCCACAGAGACTCTTAAACACATGTCACTTTGGGAACCTTTACTTCCAGAACAGTTTGTGACTGCTTCTTCACGTTTGCGTCATCTCCTTCACATTACAGCTCTTTAATAGAATCTGCGGGTATATTAGGAGCAGTGATTGGAGCACACTGCTTTCTGAAGCCATTATGAAGAGCACATGCATCACATCATCCATGAGCAGGAAAACCACACAATCTCCTGTCTCTAATAAAATGTCCTGATGATTGAAGAAACACATTTCCCAATCTTGTTTGTCTGAGTCTGTTGTGCGCACAAGATCTGTGTTATTTCCACAGGATAATATCTTGTGCGCGCGAGATAATAACTTGGTACCTTGGTAGGTGCGGCATCTTGTGGCGAAAGTGTTATTGGTACAGTACTTGCCTTATCTTGGGGTAACGACTTCTACACCGCACAGGCGAAAAAACTTGTGCAGCTAATTCCAAATGAGAGCCTTTAATGGGGGGTATTTGTGCCGCGCTATGCAGAGCTTTCAGTCAAAATACATGGGAAACATTCTTGTGTTGCGGTTTTTGCCTCTAGATCACCTGCAAACGCCAACAGCTTAACGTAGTAACATATTTAAACAAGGAGCTGGCAGGTTTAGAAGCGTGCCTCCTCGGTAACCCTAATTATTCAAGTACTAAGTACTGTTTAGTAGTTGTATTTAATACAGCAATAACATTGACAAAATTGTATTGCTGAATTGTGGTATTGCTGCATTTGTTATTTTTACATGTTTACCTATTTGACCTGCAAAAAGGGTGCTCCATTGAGCTCCGTGAACAGGTGTGAGGGGTTAACTCCTTTTGTAGATTGAAACGATTGGATCTGAGTTTACCGTGACGTATGTAATGCGCCCAAGAGTGTTGTTAGCATTTAGCATTTAGCCTAGCCATCTCCTTTGCCGCTAACGGAGCCCGTGGGGCTATTCCATTTGCTAAACATTCCTCTTGCTCCGGCTTCAATTTCTTGATATAACCAGACCGGATTACTTTACTATCGCATTTTTTGCCATTGCCAAACTACAACCTGCCCGTTTGACGCAAACTCTTGACGTCACCCACAACTAACTACAACACCCGCCTTCCGCGCTTGCTGATTTGTCGGTCGAAATTCAACCGATTGTAATCGCTAACACGAGGACCAGACCCAGACGTTACATGCAGTGAAATGATGATTGAGCGGAGTGTATGGATGGCAAAGGCCAGGCTATGTCCAGATATGATACTGCGATATCTGCTGGAAATGGGAGGGAAAACCAGCTTGACTACATGACTGACCCGAGGGATGGAAATACTGAACTTTGTGCGCACCAGAGGTACCAGGGCACAGTCAGTCTGCCCCATAAAGAGTTTACTGTAAAACCTCCAGTTCACAACAGCACCACTATCTCACCGGTGTTCTCCCTGTTCTCAATTCTCCTCGACGTTGTTGAGCTGACTGAAATAGTAAAAAGTTTGAGTAAAGGATGATACCACAAAAGCTAATAATTGATTTAGTGCGTTTACAGGATTTGTCCTAATTTGTCAATCGTCCAGGATCATTACTGGGTTTTTGAGGTCCCATCATTGTGTCCTGAAACAGATAATGGGACACTGGGACATGTGAATAGCAACTACAGGGGAAGTTAATTTTTATCATTTTCCTCCGTTGTAAGTATGTACTTCCTGAACATATTGGTTCACATCTGGGTCAGGGAACTAAATACAGACACAGAGGTATTCACAAAATTATCGGATCGCAATGCTGACACAGAAGCGTGGAGACAGACCGTGAAAGACAGACGACCAAAGCTATATAAGCAGCATTTGTAAATATTTGAGAAAGTCTCGGATTGAACAGACCGCATGTGCCGCTTCAATTTGAACTCCCGTCCATCTTATGTACATAAAGACCTTCCTCTACAAACCACCAAGTTGAGTATTTGTTTTGTTACATTTCTCTGATTCATGTCATTTGCTTACGCCACATTATGTGGGTGTTCCAGATACAGTATCTAACAACTGTGCTTATGCAGGCCCTCCGGTCACCAGAGGTTGTGAGGCTGTGATCTTATAAAATCACCAAACCCTGATTTAATCCATGTATATTTATTTGACTGAGACACCCAGGCCCAAAGTGTCTTGGTCAAATAAATGACTGAGACACACAATTATTGGGTTTTCCATATTTCATCAACAGAATGAGTGTTGTTTTGAGAATGTTTGGACTAACTTTTGGATACAGGAACACAGCTGATGACACGCCCACACGCACTGAAGCTCAGGAATGTGGAGTGGCATATTGAGTGTGTTTGCAGATATCACAGGCTTACAGAGTTATTCTGCGCCTTGGGTTCTGACTGATATTAAAGACGTGTCATTGCTTTAGCAGGATGGAACCTGAGCTGATATCTGCTCATCACTCACAGCAGAAGTGCGCACAGCCCCGTCGGAGCACTGATCTCAGAGAAGTTGCAGTCAGGGGCCTCAGGGGGGAGAGATGATGAAGTCCTGGGGCTGCGGAGAGGCCTTCAGGGATCTCCCGAAATGAAAGCACTCACCTCCTGTCTGCCATGACCCCAAACAACTCCACTGAAAAGTTATAACCGCAGATAACTACTGAGACAGAAAGGTCTGGGGGATAATATTAAAGGTGCTCTATATGTAAAGCTTCTAGTGTCTCCTATCAGTTCAGAAAGACATTATGCAAATCAACATATTTCAAAACATGTTACGTTGAAGAGGAGACTGGGAGTGCGCACTAACTCACAGCAGTAACAGCAGGTCAGGTGCTTTTCAGATTCATGTGGGAATGAATCAATGTGTAGAAAACAAGATGTCAGAGGCTTTATGTACGGTATATAATTTATTCTTTAAAGCGTCGTCATTAGAGCCGTATGAATCAAGTGTGCTACATGACACCCACCTTCATGCGTCGATCACAGTGAGTTCACACGCTTATGTCACCGCATACAACAGAAATAGAAAATGGTGCTGTTGGCAAATGTCA